TAAAGTAAGGGATGGATCTCACCATCCAGTCATAGATCTGGGACAGTGTCAGTCTCTTCTCTGGTGAGCTCTCGATGGCTTTGGTGATCAGGTCGGCGTATGAGAGGTTCCCCCAGGCGTTGCGGCGGGATGATGCCTTCCTCGGGGTCTGCGCTGCTGCCAAGCCGCTCGGAGTCAGGGCGCCGGAGGTGGCCGTCGGTGAGTGCGTGGAGAGCGGGGAGCCTGCGCTGTCATGGCCCGGGGAGTGGAACGCACCGTCGGTAACGGGGCTGTTACTGCTCTGGTCCTCCGTCGCCGCAGCGGAGCCATTGACAGTGATTGCCGTGGGGGTTGCGCTGTCCTCCTCGTCATCCTCCTCCTCGGGTATGATATCCGCCTCGGTGCTCTCCGGTTTCACCGCGCTGGAGTCCGGTCGCGGCAGCGGCCAGGTGCAAGACCGGGGCCGCTTCTGGGGCTCAAAGTCCGGGTCAATGACCACGTCCAAGTCCGGGAGCGTGTCGGGGAGCGGAGCCTCGGCCATTATCTCCGGCTCCAGACACAATCTGGCCCCTTGCTGACTGCTGATAAAGTTATACGAGAACAGACGGAGAGCAGTCAAAGTCGCGTCCCATGAATGCGCGCTCCCGTCCTTTGTTGCTATTCAACCCCAGCGAAGTCCCAGCAGAGCAGAAATACACTCAGAGATGAACGCCTGTTGAAGGTATGAAGAAACAGACTAAGATTAGTGGTCAGACTGAAAACAATAAACTTCTTATCTTCAAATAAATGCCCTCTTATAAATAACCAACAGAGTTTAAATGTTGTCAGATCCCCGACAGATTTACTGGTGCAAGTCTGAGGTTATATCTGCATCGACCTACAGGCGAGCAAGTGCAGAAATACATTCTGGATAATAATCCCCCTTCAAACACCTTACATAAATTACCTTGTGCAGCCAGGATCCACACAAAGAACAGACCAGATCAGATCCCAGATTGTCCACAGCCACGTTCTGAAGCCATGCCGAACCGCTTCTCGTCCACTAGGAACAGATATGGACTCAGATCAAGATGTGTGCATGGACAAGTCGATGTGGAATAAGACTGCCACCTCACTCTGGGTTACTACTGTATCTCGATTTGCACTTCACGCAGCCTTACACACACATACACGCGCAAACACTTTTACATACGCTCACACACACACGCATGCAAGTCGATCAAGGACCAGCCCCCTGGATCTTGCGCATGGGGGATCGGCCTTTTAAAGAGACATTACAGCCCTGCTGAGCAGTACTCTGCGCACAGGTGGAGCGCTGGAATACGTCCTGACATGTTGGAGATATGTTCCGACAGACTCGGAGTCACAACAGCCGCGGAATACGAAGAAAAAAAAAATCCGGGGACAAAGTTATTTTTAGAGATAGTTACAGTGGTGGGTTGGTCTTGTGTGATTCTGAAATTATCACTGATACTGTTTTATTCCATTAATAAATGCTTCTCAGATTTATTTTATTTTATATATAAATAAATCTGAGAAGCAATATATATATATATATATAATATATATATATATATATATATATATATATATATATATATATATATATATATATATATATATATATATATGTGTGTGTGTGTGTGTGTGTGTGTGTGTGTGTGTGTGTGTGTGTGTGTGTGTGTGTGTGTGTGTGTGTGTGTGTGTCACATAAGGGCAGTTGCCCAGGGTGGCATCAGAAAGGGGTGTACAGACAACAGATATATAACCGATTTTTCCATTATACCTTGAACATGTTTTTGCTTCTCATATGCAGACAATGGAGAATTGGCACACCTGCTTGCTTATGAGATTAGGGAGACTTTTTTTATTAGTAAGAATGTTGACGTTTTCCTACAGAACCTTAATTTAATTAAAATCTGTACTTTGTGGAAGTCTAAAACCTTATTTCCACTGAGCAGAACAGCACGGGTCGGTGCGGTTCGGTACGCTATTTTGTCTGTTTCCATTGTGAAAGTGGCCCATACAACCAACTTATACCTGGATCTCCTTCAGTTGTAGGTCCTTAGGTTATTGGTATGGTTAAGGTGGAGTGACTGGCATGACACAACAGTCCATTTATTGGAGGAAAGAAAAATGTCACTGCTTACGACAAATATGAGACATACTAGTGCAACAGGTTTGTCATCACATGACGTCACTTTAGGTATTTGGGTTTTACCCCACCTGCAGTGAGAGAGCAACTGGTGGTGGAAACGCTCTACTGAATACAACCTTAAAATTGTCAGAAGACAATAGAGACATAAGACATGCATAAGTTTTGATCCACACCCTTTCATTAAAGTCCTGACTGAATATTTATTTTCATTGTTCTGTTGGAAGTTCAACCTCTGCCCTAGTCTCACACTTTTTACATCCTCCAGCATGTTTTCCTTCTAGAGTTTAGTTGTATTTAGCTCCATATTTCTTTCCATTGACTCTGAAAATCTGGCACTCCTCTCGCCAGATTTTTGAATGACAGTCTTCTAAAGAGATTCCATCATTGTGGGTCTCTGCAGCTCCTCCAGAGTAAGCATAAGCCACTTGATTGTCTCACAGATTGCTGCTCTCCTTGCCTGGCTTGCCAGTTATTCATTGTAGATTTGTAGTCGTGCTTTATTCAATTGTCAGATGATGGACTAAATGGTGCTTTGTGAGATATTCAAAGCTTGGAATACTGATTGGTAACCTGGCCTTCATGATGCTGGCTGCTCACTATAGTTCTCCAAAATATCCTCTGAAATATTGATTGTGTTCATTCCGAGACAAAATTACATACAAGTATTATCATTTTTTTTTTAGATGACATCTTAAGCCAGTTGATTAGATTAGTTAATATTTAGTGCTGTCAGAGTAGAGGGGACTAAATACAAATGCACACCACAATTTTTAGTTCATTTGTAAAAAGAATAATCTCAATAAATCCTCTGAGAAAACATTCAAGACTATGGGCGCTCAAGATTTCGTGCATGTTGCCTTTAATGAGAGATCCACGCTGTCAATCATGCCTATCACGATGATCTGACCACGCCCCCTGCTGGAGTCCAAAAATAATTACGTCACCCCAATTATTAATCCGCAATAAAGAGGAAAAATCAGGATGGGTAAGTTGATAGTCAAGTCTCCTCTCGACTCCTTTCTTCCATCTTTTTCTCCACCTTGACTGAATCATAACATCCAGGTTCCGTCATCCTCTTTGTCTCCTGCTTGAGTGCCGTGCACGATGCGCGTTCTCGCCACTCTTGTGCAGGAATGCGCTGCTGATCACGATAATTCTGACAAATCTTGCATAATATTAGTTCTCCTCCTTTCTCGTATTATCATCGCCTGTAGAATAGCAACCAAATTGACAACCAAAAACATTGGAAATAGGTTTCACACTGCTGTTTTTCATTATCACTTAATATGTTGGTGCATTGGGGAAGAGTCACAAGTCTTTATATTAAGGAAATACTCCATGCAAAGATGTAGAGACACGGTTCTTCTCTTTGTTCAGATCAAAGAGGAAAGCTGACACAGATGTCAGGCTTCTGCAGAGCAACTGAGCACTGATAGGTTAAAATGTTTGAGCGCTAGTTTGTGTCTAAATGCACAAAGGAACGTAATTAAACATCAACAAATGTTTCCCTCATGTACTTTTACAAACTCTCAGGTGAACAAAACCTGTGCGGTAAATGTCCATTGCCTTTTCCCCTATCCAACTTCCTTTTCCCTGCAGAAGAAAGGCTTCCCCACAGCATGACGCTGCCGTCACCATGTTTTACCATGGCGATTATGTTTTCCGGATGAAACCCTAGCTTTTTATTGGATATCACTTTCACTCAATGAAGAGTACAACAAGTTGTCTGATCAACAGATTCTCCCACTTGAGCAGCAGTAGATCTCTACAGCTCCTCCTGGGTACCGTGAGCCTCTTTAAATAGAACAGTGTCTTTATGGATTACATTTCCATTTTCACGAACTAGACTGAACTTTGAGTTTTTTCAGAATGTTTTTTTTCACTAATGTTCTTTACAAGTCTCAATCTTCCACAGAACTGCTGGTTTTATAGAGATTAAAAATACTAATTAAACTTCAAGGCAATTTGTTGCAATGGTCTTTAATCAGCGCTTTCTGCGTAAAAAAAGGGGCTGAATCCAAATTCACAAACTATTTGACATTTTTACTGAAAGAACATATTACTTTGCATTCTTAGAGCATGAATACTGAAACAGGGCGCTGCAGCTTGTGGTATCAGATAAAACAAAGGAATCTGATTATATTGGATGAAAGAACAAAACAATCCAATAAAAATTAAATTAAAACCTCTTCCAGTTCAAAGGCACTCGAAGAAGAGATAATCCCAACAAAAACCTGCAAGAACAGCTGACAGGGCAATGACTCACATTAGTATAGTGTATGGTTTAGGTAATAGGACAAGGTGGTATTTTCCTGCTGGGATGCGTGGACTGAGACTATGAATAGTCTTGTAAAATGGAGAGGATAATCCATTTAAGACAATGACGATGAACGGCATCCATCTCCCCTCTGACCAACGTAATGCACCAATTGGATAAACGGGGTCCCTCGCATAAGACGTAATGGATTTTCCTTTAACTGAAAGGTATGGTGCAGTGTAGACTCACGTCTGATTCAAGCACCCTTTAAAGAGGCTTGTATCTTTTCATATCCGCGTCGTCGTTTAAATCTAGTGAGAACAGACACTGTCTGGTATGTTGGTGCTTGTTCCATGACTCTGGCTGGTTGGCCGGCTTGATCTGTTCTTACATAAGGCTCTTAGTCTAGATCGAGTAGATGCTATCAAAGCTTGCAGGGCCAGGCTGGAGTGCTGCACTAGAATGACCTCATCACTGGATGGACAATAATAACACCTGGGGAACTTCTTGATCTCTGCTGCCCCCTACAGGCAAAAAGGGATAAATTGAAAACAACTATTGTACCAGATGGTCACAAATCATTAAAAACAAAACACAGAGAATACGTCTTTTTATTTTAATTTATTCATGTATTCACCAACACTGAGCATTCATGCCATGAAAAACCAAGTTATTTAATCATACAAAAATAGAGTAACAGTTAAAGGGTAAAGGGTGCTTGAGTAACAGTTTCTGTGGAATTACCTTGTGTGGGATTTCTCCAAGTACTATTAATTTCTTCTGCATGTTATGTTTACCAAAGACCCAAACTGATCTTAGAAGTTGGAATAAGTACTGCCGTGGATCTTGTTCTGTGCACAACCATCAAGAAAGATATATTGCAAGATATATCACGTTTCAATGCAATATATTGCCAATTGTTCATTTATTTGTTTTGTACAAATAAATGAACAATCAAAACAGGCATTTGTATCCAAATGTGTTTTTTCATTAAATTGTACATTTCCTGATATTCCATTAAAATCACTTAGTTCAGATTCTTTACATTAAAGTGCCTTTCACACCCTCTAAAAACTTTTAGTAGTTTGGTTATGATACACCCACAAAGCAGTGTATTTTACGGAGTTCATATGTTAGACAAAAAAGCAGAGCATAATTGTGAGACAGAAGGACAATGATACATGGGCTAAATTGTTTCAAATAAATAGAAATCTGAAATGTCTGGAAAGTATTTGTATTTAGCACCTAGAAAGCCAAGTCCCTTTCAATTAAAAATTAGATTTGAAGAAAAAAAAAAGCCATTGGCCAAAGCGCTGTAGGTTCTAATGTGCAGCTAATGCAAAAGCCTAGCCTCTTATGTTTCAGCTGCAGAAACAACAAGAAACTGTTCAACAGACTTCTGTGATCTACTTGAAGTGTATATAGACTTAAGGTAACGAGGTGCAAGCCCTTTGAAAATGAGTTAAAATATCTTAAAATTAATTAAAAAAAGACTCAGAGAGTCAAAGTAAAGATGGGTGGTGTTATTTGTATATGACCAGTCAGTCAATCTCCAGATGGGATGATCTTGTAAACACCATTTAAAGAAATAAGACATGGCTTCACCTTTCCTTTAATGCTCCCCCTCTGAATGCATCATCAGTGGAACATGGTGGTGCCAGTATCATGCTGGGGGGAATGCTCCCTCTCTGGAAATACTGGGCAAGCATTCGAGTTGCTGGGTGTGAAAAACTCAAATTTGATGCTTCAACAAAGCATTCAAGTGGGGGTTTGGTTAACACCCAACTTAATGAAAACATTACAAATACCTGCAATGTCTTCCAGATGTCTGATTGTGTAAACAAATATTGAAAACTACGCATCATTTCTTTTCACTTCACAATTATGCACTTCCTCATGTTTGAACAACATTCAGATTAGGAAAAAAAACCTGGTTTAAAAAAATATTTGATAAACTTTCCTCCACTAGAGGGCACTAATCACCCGCTAAGGAAGGATGTTTGATCCTCTCCCCACTGTAGCGTAAAATCCTTGGAAAGCTGTCGACCTTTTAAACCAGCGGTCCACGAGGGGGAGAGAGCAGTCCTTGCAGGACATCTTCAACTCATATAAAACATGAGGAGACATCAGATGAAATGGGATGCAGTTTTTGTTTTACAGTTTGTTGCAAAGTACTGCTTACTCTGAAACAGAACCAGTGTCCTGGATGTTTTTGGATGTATCACTACACACACAGCTGAATTGCCTCCTCACCATGACATCCACTTCTGCACGACCTGCTAAGAGCTCCTTCATTTGATTCAGGTGTGCTGAATCGGAGAAACATCCAAAACATGCAGGACATCAGCCCCTGAAGACTGGCTGCTCTAAGACATTTTGATTTACTCCATCAGGAGTGAAGCTGGTTAGTGAGGCATCATGCTTTTGGGAGGTAGTTTCTTATTCAAGCTTTCAACTGCAGATGTTAGCTATTCATGTGTCTACTGCTGGAACTGCGATCTCCCTCCATCCAGTAAGCCTCAGTTTGCATTTCCCTCAGCCGAGAGACGGTCCTTTGAAAAGCAAAGATCTCTTCCTCGGCTGTGAACAGAGTGAGCCTCTCTGCTGCCTCCTGAAAAAGGTGGAACATCGTAGTTAGCAGCAACCAGAGCTGGCTCGACTAGGCTCTTGAATCCAGTCAAATTCAAATATCAGATGAAAGTTGTGAGTTTTTAATTTATGGATCCTCTATTTAAATCTCTGTCCAGAAACTAATACATGTTTGTGCTGCAGGTGAGACCTTACATCACTGAGGCCCAGGTCATCCAGCAGCTGTCGATCTCTCTCATCTTCTCCTCCAGTATGGATGAAGAGCTGCTCTAAGGGAGCCGCTGCCAGAAGCACCACTCTCACCTGGGAAAAAAGTTAACATGGATCAGACCTGGGAGTGTCTGACTTTTTAATAGATGTGACTTCTCTTGTCCCTGATAAATGTTTGCTGTAATTAGAAAAAAGTTGCGTGGCAACACATCAAGGACACGAGACAGCAAAACATCTGAAACATCACAATGTCTTTCCAAAGATCACTCATCTTGATTTGTTTAAGAAGTGCAAATTAATGTGCTTAAATGTTCATGAGCAGAGTCAACCTTTTGGAAAGGCTGAATTCAGCAATGCTTAGCCAACTATCCACCTCTGTGGCAGCCTGTTAGTAATATATTCTTTGTGGCTTACTTGAAATTTGTCTTCCTTTTCACTTTAGTCTAACAGATATAACACAAAGCTCTTGTCTTTCAGACTTCTGTTTAGTTGTTACTAAACAGAGAGTTTTGCGAATGTACAAGAGATGAGCAGAGGAATGAGCCGAAAGCATCCTGTCATTTCCCACTTTGTCTTCACTGCATGATAAACATTTTAGTATTTCTTTAGAGCTTTTTGCAATAGGACCTTTGGTAAAAGGTCTGCTGCCTGGTCAAACATCAGAGGAATGTTAGCCAACAATCTGTGGGCAAATATCTCTGATGTAATAATCTTGGTGCAACTTGCCTTTTTAAATCCCACCAGAGATTCCCAGGTGACTCTGATGATCACTTTTGTATCGTCCAGTATTTCTTGTAAAGATCAGGCCTCAACTTCAACTAATATGGTTTGACATTTTCCTCTTGAATTTCCTCAAACCTGACACACTGCTCTTTTCTCTCTGTCCTTCTACAGTCATGTGGATGATCCAAATAGCAGAAAATATGTCCTTGTTTTGATTTCGCTGGAAACAAATTGAAGAAGACTTTTCTGTTTTTAGGTTGGTAGTGGTGTATGCCCTGACCTGGAGCCCTTCAGTTTATAGTGTGCATCTTACTCTGAAAACTAAAATGACATTCAGGACCTTTCTTCTCCTTTTACATGTTTTTTTTTGTTTATTCCTCTATTTTGAGCTTTTTGGACAATGGCAATTCTCCTGAGCCATATTTCTAATATGCAATGAATCCTTACCGTCAACAGTCCATGTATTTGAAGTGTTTATTTGAGACTCAATTTATGCAACAACTAAAGCCAATTAATTAATAATTCAATTAATTTAGCTTAACTTCTGTGAATTGAACTTAATTGGAGTTCAAGTTAAGAGCTGCAGGAATGAAAAGATGGACTGTCATCGTTCATCCACTTAAATCTGTTCCCTGATTCAGCATGTAGAAATCTCAGGTGCAACCAGATTACACAAAAGAGCAAAAAAAACATTTTTGTTATAGATTTTGTTTTCAAAGTACAGCGAAGGTCTTATCCTATTACCACATGCTTATTATCGAGTATAAAAATCTTTATTTTTCTCAATGCTAGCTGATCTTTGGAACAAATCTAAATGCAAGGCTGTGCCATTATTCGAAAATCAATGAGAAATAGCTTGACGTCTTCAAGGAAAAAGAACATTCTCCACACAGGTTAAGAAATGTAAAAAAACCTTCACGGAGCACAATGTTCGAAACATAGGATTCAGCAATAAAAGGAGGAGCATTGATTCTCTTACGCTCACTTTCATCTGAACCGTTTACCTTGTGATCATAGAAATTGTCTATGAGCGTGGTGAAGCGCCTGGCCTGGTCCTTCAGAGTCAGCGTCAGTTTGGGGACGTGGCGGATGAATACAGTGTCAAAGATCCGTGCCATTTCCAGGTAATCGCTGGCACCCGTTGGCTGGAGAAGAGGGGAAAAGGAAGCATGCTGAAAGCAGTGGCCACTCATGTTTACATCTATATAGGTTGCTTGGTCTGTGTATCCCGGCTGAGAGCAGGAAAAAAAGAGCCAAGTTTACCACAAAAGAATGTTGTGCAAAATATTCTTGCAGATGTAACGTCCTTGGGTGACCCGCCATTCAATTTGATTGCTCTTAAAATTAATGACGGCATGGCAACAAATGTCAGAGGAAGCCTTGAAGCTCAGATGCCTTCGAAAACTCCCCACTCTCCATCAGGGTTGAGACTTTACACATGTACTGCAGATTACTGCTGCAAAAAGGGTATAAAAGACCCAGCTAATAATAAACTCATCAATAGACTTGCTTTTTGACATTGAGTGGACCAATAGGACCTAGACAGAGAGAAAGGTTTGGAAAATATGAGTGCACAGACAAAAGAAACCAGGCCCAGAGGTAATAATGACTCAAGTGAAGAACATCAACCTCAGCAGTTATTATTCATGATTGCATTTGGAGTTTCAAGTTAGAAATATGCAACAGGATGGCTAATAATATATATGTCATTTTAGTTGCGACTATATGCTCAAAACTGAAAAACTGGTGAAATTTTTTTAAATGCAGAAACTATGTTCACTCTTACTGCTTCCAGCAGTGCAAGGAGGAAAACTGTCAATTCATGAAGGACTGGAAAGACATCTTCAAACAATTTTAAGTTCATCATCCCTCCCTGAAAATGCTTATTTCAAAGTGGAAAACAAATATGACCATATATCCTAAATTTTGCCAGACTGTGCAGGCTAAGCGATTACAGAATTTTAGAGAACTTCATCTTCTACTCTATAAGCTTCAGTAATCACAGTAAAAGGTTTGTAGGAGGGGTCTGAACACTGCCCTAAAGAGTTAGAAAGAGACGAGTTGTTTTTACATGCACATCGTCTCCAGGCACTACTCACTTTACCACACAGTTCTTCAAAAGTACAATCAGCGATGGAGCCACACGTCTTCTGAAGAGTCACATCTCTGCCCAGGACAGTGAGAACACGAGAACCAGTAACTAGAGAAACCAAAGCACAGTGAAAATTGACCTCGACGCAATAAAATGTTTTAAAAAACAACACAGTTAAACTTCAAGTACAACACAAAAGGATTAAAAAAATTGAATAAAAAAAAATCACAAAAAAAACTTCATCAGCTTTCTATCTATTATTTTTTCATTCCATAAATCTATGGAGGGCTGATCCTGTCTAAATTGGCAATAAATATTGCTTCTAAAACATAAAAAAGCATGAATTTTCCAACTTGTTTTATTATACAGTGTTGCACAAATTAATAGTTGTTCAGAATTTTCTATTAATAAGGGGAAAAAAATGCAAAGAGGAAATATGACGAGAAAAACAACGTACAATAAAAATGTCTGTAAATAAAAAAAATGTGCATAAATACAGAAAATAAAAAATTAACTAAATAAAACAATAAGATTGGAAATAAAATAGAAAATCATTAATAGTAGCATAGTTAATTTAATACTGTTGAAATGATACCAAATATACATTTTTGTCAAACATATTTTATTTCTGTATTTAAAAACAAAGACAAAAACAAACTTTATAGGTAGTTTGAGCAAAACATAAGATTTTTATGTTATATTTTTATTGCACTGATTTTTTATCAAAATTAACAAATATATGACAGAGAAAATGTAGTAACTGAACACTCATCTGAGGTTGCCGAAACAGAGCAAGACAAATTAGGTTATTGCACGAGAAAAAAAAGGAGTTTTTCAGGTGTTTAGCAGAAAAAAATATATAATTTTCTGTGGCATCTTTAGAGGTTTTATTATTACTTAAATTGATCACTTCTATACTCATGCACGCTAATGTAAACATACAGCAGTTATAATTATTATGTTGTGCTCCAAAACTCTGTTCTTTTGACTAAAAAAGAGATATGGAGTGAGAATGACTAATTTGGTTAGTTTTCTTTCATTTGACTGGATAAAATGATTGCAAACATGTTTACCTTTTAGAAAAAGTGTTTTGAGAATAGCCTTTTGAAGGACCAGGCCTGGAAGTTGGTTCATAACATATTTTCTGCTTAACATGGAACTGTGAGGCAACTTTGAGCTGAAACTGGACTTGATCCAGTAAGTGGAAAGGTGTTGCCTTGGCATAAACACAAACTGATTAGTTTGTGTTCATTAGTACTATTTTTAATGGTTCCACAAAACTTGACAACACAATAGGCATATTGTCGGCAAAAAACAAGAAAACTTAAAAAAATATGTTTTTGTGGACTGTGATCAATAACCAGATTTGTCATTGACCAGACCCATCCATAGTAGTTAGTGTTTACATTAACTGGTTTACAATTCAATTGTAAAAATGTGTAAATAAAATGTGTAAAAATGTGTAAATAAAATATGGACAAATGTCTTTGTCCATATTTATAAGAATTTTAGATGTTTTAAAACTTTTAAAATTTTTTCTCATATCTTTTGTGATGAAAAAAATAGCTAGAAGAATTTAAACACATTAAATTTATTCACAATCAAAATATTTCAGGAGAAGAAATATCTTTTTTTGGCATGAGACCTAGTTAAAACTTGAGAATTTAACTTCCTTACCACTTTTCTGTCTTAATGCCAGCTCCTCAAACAGTGCATCCAGGTAAGCCTCTGCTCCAGGTTCTCCTGTGCTGCACACATCACACACACACACACACACACACACACACACCACACACACACACACACACACACGCATGCACGTGCACACATACGCACACAACAAAACCACAGGTGAAACAATTGGGTATAAAATTAATAACGCTGAAGTGGCTACATCAAACGCTGCCAGCAAGCAGAACATTGGTGTTGAGTACTTAGCTTTTCACTCCATCAGCAGAAAAAAAAAATTAGGTGGTTAGGCTCTAAATAGGAGCGTCAGCCTGTGAATGCACGTTAAAGTGAAACTGTGGAGGGTGTATATGTGTGTGTTTGTTTGCTTGTGTTTTAACTCCAGGTAAAAGGGTGTGATGCTCTCTATTTACATGCACTTGAATGGCCCAAACTTGTTTGGCGGTGTGTGTGTTTGTGCGCATACACGGTCCTAACAGCAGATATGTATTGAGGAAAATAAAAAAGTAGCTTTTAAAGCTCTGCCATTTTCTCATGTTCTATTGATTCCTTTCATTCTTTTCATGGCTCTTTCAAGGTAATGTAGGTCTTTATAAACCTCCCTGCCTGCTTCTGCCCATTTATACATGTGTTTGCCTTCTCTTTCAATCTTTTTTAAAAGAAAAAAAAATTCTAACCACATCATGTGCAGAAACATTTCGTGTGTATGAATGTTTGTGTGGAGGTTAATATAAACACACAATTAGACTTCTACACTATCTCTGAACTGAGCTGGACTGTTAACATTAACATGATGCAACACGTGAGTCTTACAGGTAGTAAAGTTTTCCAGCCACGGGCCTGTCCAGCCTCCTGTAGTCAATCCCAGAGTCCAGACAGACAGTGTGGCAGTATTTCTGGGCACAAACACAGAAAAACAATCTCTTAACTCAATGGAGTGTGCAAAAACAGTAACAAAAAATGCAAAAATTTTAGAGTATGCATCAAAAGTAAAAGAAAAAGACAAGGGAGGCTCTCATTAGTATTAAACAAATAAATCTGGGTAAATAATTTTCATTATTTATGACCATATCATTAATCTGAAGAGTCCAAGAATAGTGTAAGAAGCATAAGACATTTTAATGCCAGCTCCTCAAACAGGTTTATTAATTGATAAATAAAAATATCAATTAAGAAAATATAAAAGAGTATATATATATATATATATATATATATATATATACACACATACATATACATACAACTTCTAAAAAGAAGTTGTAATGAAGGTGTGAATGACCACGAAGTGAACAGAAATAAAAAATAAAATATGATATTTTGTTGTAAAATACAAATACATTTAGTCAAAGTCTTATTTTCATCTTCAAATGTTTATTATATATCACAAATGTATTCGTTTGCTAAATTATAGCCTTAAAGATTTTTTTAAAGAAGAGGAAAGTGGTGAATCAGAGCAAATGGGTAACATTAATGTCTTTCAGATTAATTGCAAATCATACTGAACTCTCTGGCATTAAGCAATACATTAATTCTCATCACACTTGGCTTTAGTTTTAATGACTTTTTAATGACTGTGATTGGCTTTAGAAAACATAAAATTCAGCTTAAAAATACTTTGACAACAAATATACAGAAAATACAGATTTTGTGTTCGATGTAATGTTTGCATTAAGAAAACATGAGTTTTTTTTAAAGAACTTAATCAAAAGGTTGTTATTAAGGACTAATAGATTCAGCTTTTCAATATAAAGTCATAGAATATTGTTCAGCTGTACAATTTTTGTAGTAAATAAATATATATATTCTTAAGACTTTTATCAGTGCTTTCTTAGGGAATGAAGACCAAATAGTTTGAACAAATAAAAATGACAGGACTATAGAAGGCGACAGGATGGCATGAACCCATGTACCGACAGCGCTCCCATTTTGTGTCACTGCTTTATGGTGTTTTGAGCCGAACTACTGTTCTGCAGCACTCCAGCTGAGGTGAACTTGTGAAACTTTTTAAAATGGTGTAAAACGTCAACAGGATTCATGTCAGGGAGTGCAGCGCAAACTATAATCATCATCGCCACTATTCTATCAAAGAAAAGAGAGGAATTGCATATCATTCCAGGCAAGCCATCAACGGCTGACTGAGTATCCTGCGACAGCTCCATTAAATTATGAAATCAGTGAATTTCTGCCACTGGCCCCCTTAAGCTGCAGGATAATTAGTAATCATCACAAAGCATGGGGACGGAAATACTCTATTCTTCTCCGCTGTCAACTTTTTATCTCCGTGTCCGCTCACACAAACGGGGTTCCCACTCTGAGCCAATTGGCTGAATCAGGCTTAATAACAACCTGACAAATTCGCCCTCCCTCGCGCACAAAAGGGAGGTGTCATTTCATCAACCTTCGGTGACCCCACCAACCGGTAAATAGTCGCTCCGAAAAGCAAAAAAAAAAAAAGAGAAACTTGTCACAATTGCTGCTACATCATTAGAATCTCGGTTCGGCTTTTCTCCTGCCATCTTCCACCAACCCACCCCCCTCTCTCTTTGTGAACCATGTCTACCTACAGTAAAGACGGCTGACGGAGGTATAAATAAGAGAAGAGGAAAGAAGAAGGAGGAATGGAAACACAATCAGAGATGATGATTCCATTGGTTATTTATAATCAGATTGAAGCCTTGCGGGTCATTACTTGATTATCCATCTTAAGGGGATTGTCAAGATCCCACTCCTTCAAGATTTCCTCCGCCTACACATTGTGGTCTTTTACCACTTCGCCCCTCCAAACACCACCCGCACCACCACCTATCATCACACTCCTCTGACAGTCAGACTTCACTTTGAGTCTACTTTGCATCTCACTTCCTCGTCTTAAACTGTTTATTTGATTCCTAAATCCAACTGTTTAGGTGAGAAAACACAGATCAGACACCACAGGTTTATTAACTTTTAAAATTATTAGTTGGTCATCAATAAGAATACAAAAATTTTAACTTTAATGCTAATCTAGTATTCTGATAAGACAATAAATGCAATAGCAATCCTTTGTGGTCTCATGTCTCTTAGTATTGAGACATTTCATCCAAACCTACTTACTTTTTAAGACTTTTAGGGATTAATCATTAAACTGCAAGTCATTGTCACTAATTAGTAACTGAACTAATAGTTAAAGTAAATGCAATTACAATGTTACAACATTACAATGGTGATATTTATGGTTGTTAGCTACATGTAGCTCTGAGGTGCCACAAAGGTATAAATATTTTATTTTCGCCAAGCTTTCAAAAACTGTAGTTAAAAATCAGTCTGAAGCAAAAAGTGTAGACTTTGCATGCATGATGTGTATGTCTTAGGGAGGTCTTTGCTTGGCTCACTTGTACTATATGACTGCAGCTAAAGCAATATTGGTTTGGTGGAACAATAAATCTGTGCTATGGGAAAGACAAAGTGGATACAAGAAGTAGTAAAATTATGTCTTTTAGAGACATTGGTTGTTAAGTATTTGGACAGCATGTCAAAAAATGCTCAAATAAGAGATTTCTGAAAAGTCAGCATCTTGGATTACTGAAATAGACCGTTGACACACTTACATGGTCCATTTGACAGTGACAGTATTTAGAAAAGCAACATTTAGGAAACCATACTTGCTTTCTGACATTAAAGTGTAAAGACATTCCCAAATCTGAGGTCCAAATTGAATTAAAGCAACATATGAAGACATCCACAAACATGCTTGTGGATGTCTTGCATGTTCATCTATTTTTGGAAGTTTGACCATTACATGATGGAGATTACCAAAATGTTGGATATAATGTAAGAAAGTTTCCCGCTCAGACACCAGACATGAGAAACAGACTCTTCAAAAGAAAGTCATCCAAACACATGTAGCTCCGATCAAGTCATTGTCAGAGCTGTCCGCCGCCCTAACAGGACAGCCGTTTAGCATAAAAACAGAGTGGCTTCTCTCTTTCTTTTATTGGCTCTCCTTCCCTGTCCGACATATCTCTCTCAATCCTTCACTCCTCAAAAAGTTGCTTTTGAGTTTTTCAAAGAACGCGGTGCCATTGAGCCGCAACAAAAGCCAAGGATAGCTGACTATTGGGCCCTGATGAGGTCCACTCCCTCATTACCCAGCAGCAGAAAACATTTGATGCTTTTTCTTTTTTTTTTGTTTGGCCTGGAGAATTGACCAAGCCTCAAAGAAATGCAGGGTGGGAAGGCTGAAAAAGAGATGAGGGGGGGGTGGCGAGAGAGATGAGGGGGAAAGGTTGTCGTCCATTCAGCTCTGTGTGTCTTACAGCCTTCTGTGGAGGGGGACAGAAGGAAAGTGGGAGGGGGCAGGGACAGAGGGGTCGAGAGACAGAGAGACGGGGGAGAAAAGAGAGAAAGCTTAAAACACTGCCTTTATGCTGGCAAGTTCTGTACGACTCTTCTGACATCAAAGTGCTTTCACTAACTGGGGAGCTGCTGTGTGTGTGAGTGGGCAAGCTGGGGGTGTATCTGGTGATTTTATTCATTCCTCAGCAGTCTGGGAGGGGGTACGTGACAATGTGAACACCCTAATTACACCTAATGATCTGTTCCCTTAAAGTGTGACTGCCTTCGGCCGGCCATGGATTGTTCAGCTGGGCCGTTCTCACAACCTCCCCTTGCCTCGGTTGCTCCTCTTGGGGAAACATCCTTTGAGTTTCAGGCCTCGTGTTTTGTGATCCGGGACCCCACCAGACTCCACCGCCCTCAACTCCTCTTGAGTTCTGCTGGCCCCAAACCGAGCCAACCCAAAAAGCCAAAATGGGGTGTGGTTCCTGCACCTGGCCAACAGAGGCTGAAAATGTTTAACAGCAGCCAACAAGGACTAAACAAATTGGCTTTATGTTTATGTATGTCACTTTATTTCCCTTATTAATGACAATAATGTTATTTTTGATTTATTGTATATTATAACATGCAATAAGTCTATCTTATATCATAATAATATATCATTTTAATCTTCATTGATATTTTTATTTTCCATTTTGAAGGTTTAATCTCAGATGTTTTCAAAGATTTGAAGACATTTTTAGATTTTACTTCAAAGCTTTTTCTGACTGGAAGTAATATGAACAATTTCAGCAAAAGTACTGAGTTGAATATGATAAAGCTGCTTTCATACATTTCCAGAACAAATCAAAAGTGCAAAGAAATCCAACACGCACAATTTGTCAGATTTCTCACAGGAGAGCTGCCTTGAGCTATAACAACCCACTGTATTATTAAAGCACAAAGCTTTAATAATCAAAGAGATTGTGTGATTAATAACACCTGAGAGAAAAAAAAAGACAAAATCAAATTTTCATAACTTGATCAATTGAACATCTAATGCAATTTAACACCTCGATTTGATTTCTCACAAGTTTAAAAGGAGGAAAAAAATCTATGTTTCTTATTGTGTAATCAGATTTCAAACAACAAATATAGAAATCATGCGAATTGACTCCAAGGGCCTCTCTAACTCTGACCTTAAAAGTTCCACAAAACCATGGCTGCCATCAAATATCGAACTTGGTTTTATTTGAACTTGCAGGCCTTTCTGCTCTTTCTCACCAAGGTCTTTGTGGGACGACCACATCGCTCCCATTCTTCAAGTCGTCTCTGACATTCTGTTTTGTTTGTTATGTCTACATTTTTTTTCAATCATCAGTAACTGCTCAGCACATTGCATTTACTAACAATACAAATAACGGGGAAGGAGAGCAGATCAAAAGAAGGGTTAATGAGAGCAGGAAACCTACAGATACTCCAAGTTGGCTCAGGGTTGTCGTCATGTTTTTCCCTTTCCCTCCGGCAGCTTTTTGTGTGTGGCTGTAATCGAACATGCGGCGGGGAGAATAAAGTCACTATTCTGCTACCAAAATGCAGAGACCTGACCTTGGGTAAGTAAAGCCTACGAGCGGAACGGGATGGTAATGGAATAAAGAGAGAGGATAGGAGGGTGTAGACTGGATGGGTGATGAAAAGTGAAGTGGAGAGGGAGGACGGCTCAGGAGACAGAGAGAGAGAGGGGAAAAAAAAAGTGTCTTAGTTACAATACTGCCTGTGTCCATTAAAGGAGAGCCCCCAAACCCTGTATTTTACATAAACCTGGGCTTTGCCATGGCTACATAGAAAACGGATCACTTGAATAGATTCTCTAATGGTCCTAAACTGTCAAGGCACATCTGTAAAAATCAGCTCGGGATGTCTTAAACCGAGAAATTTTATACTTTCCACATGTGACAGGTAAAACTGCTTCAACTACGCTTGATCTAATGTTTTTGTCTCTGTCAGATGAGCCAACTGAATGTTTGTGGAGAAAAGAAAAGGGGTTCTAACTAATCAGAAGTCAATGGTTAAATAAAGACATCGACTCAGGCGGAAGGAATTGCTGGATTAACCTTTACCACAGGGGCACAGGTGATCAGGGTCAAAGGTCAGAGGCTATTTTTCACGACTTAACACCCTCGTTCTCTTTTCCACTTGTTATAGAAATGATGCTGCAGCCCACATCTCCAGCCGTGATCTGTAGACTTCTGCTCCCTGCAAGCATTAATTCAATCTATTAAGGGTTAGCTAGTTAGCAGCGTCACCTTGCAAAAGCACGCTTTAACATTGCAGGGCAGGCTGCCAGAGTACGAAAAAAAAAAAAAAAAACGACCCCAAAAAACCAGATGGTTTGACAAAAGGGGGAACATGGTACCCAGAAAGAAAGGAGGTATTCTGGGGCAGGGAGGGACAACAGGCATTCAGGACCTTGATGAGGGTGGATTAGAGAGGGCAAGGGTGCTGATGGGCGGGGAGCAGGGTAACTCAGAGACTTCCCATGTTGACTGATTATGTTTGTGTGTTGTAAGTTAAAGGATTTTTTATTGTATTGAATAAACGTTTGTGTGAAGCGGCTGATTAACCCTACTGATGCTGGTTCATAAAACGTGTTTAGGCGCTTACGTTGCAGTTCTGCACCTTACATGCTGGAATATATTAATCCAGCTGAATTTACTGAGCTAAGTTTATCTTCAGAACTAGACCTCAGTACAGTAGTTAAACAATATTTAAACATATGGTGAGCCATGGAGTTCCAAAAGCTGGTTTGATGAAAATTGATTTATGATTGGTCTCATGCGGTCTCTGAGACTCCCCCCCAACACTCCTCCCCATTTCAAATTTATGCTACACTTAGTGACGTTCAAGCATGAAATCCCAACAAATTACATCAACATTGGTGGTTGTATTGTGACAAAATGTGAAAAGATAGAAGGGATGCGATATTTTGCAAGAAACCATAATTTAAAAATGTTGCACAAATACAATTGATTCCTAAGTGAGAAATAAAATCAGGTACTGACAGAAATTGTCAAATCTTCAGTTTGAGCTATAGCTGTCCTGGTGCATTTTATGTAATTAATGCCATGCCAAACATGTCAATCATGGAGTCAGAAAGACTCAAGCTTTGTTATAATCTACATCACTGAAGTGTTCAAAACAAAATCAATGAATGTAGAAAGACATTCAAAAGGAAACTGTGTCTGTAGTTCAATAAGGGTATGAGAGACAGAGAGACTTTCAGCTGATAACTGTAAGGATAAACAGATTATAGTAAAGTTTGACATCACCTTTATTCCTAAAATAAAGGCTCACAACAGGAAGGCTGCAATAAAAATTATTTGAATGTTCTCACATTTCTGAAAAGAAAATTAGAATGAGCTAAAAATTTATTTGTTAAATACTTAACAAACAAAAAAAAAAGCTGAGTTTGGATATTGACCCCAAAGCTCTAACTGTTGCATCTCCACTCTGAAGAAAGATGATTTTAAAGCCATCCCTTTGCCAGTAATCACACTGTAGACTAAATACCAATAAAAAGTGTAAGAATGCTACCCTCCTCTGTTGCAAAATGCATGACAACAAGTTATTATGCAATTATTTATGATCATGATCACTCCAAACACATCAATGATCATTTCATATGCAGGCAGGATAATGATGCGACCTGCTTAAATTGCAAAGTAGATTTGTTTTAATAGAAATGGCTAGCTGTCGCCTCACTCTCTCCTTTTTTGTCCTCTCTCTTATCCCCTACTTTTGAAATGCAAGGAGTGTGTGAGTCACTCACTCAGCTCGTTCACCCATTCACATTACCTGTCCCATCTCTCTCCCTCTCTCCTCCTCTATGTGAGTGTTTCAGTGTGCACTGGCATGATCAAAGACAGCTTTGTGACGCCGTGCAAGGCATCCAGGAAGCAGAGAACATCAAACCACAACACGCATCAGGACATTCACAGCGGGAACAGAGACACATGTGTAAGGTGTGTAGGGTAGGTGTGTGTAATAAACAAATGAATAAATTAAAAAGACAAGAGCGAGACAGAGGTGACTTTGTCTCTACCTTTAGCACGTCGATGAAAGGTAGGAAGGTGTCCCTCTGAAGTCCGTTTTTGTACAGATCTGAAAGAGGAGGGAAGGGCTTGCATGAGAGCTGCTGTTTAGCCTCCTAATAATGTCATTCCCTCAATACAGATTGGCAGATAAATTGGCTATTGATGAACTGAAGGATGGGTGGGGAGGCACGACAAAAGGGATGGCGGGACCGGGCAGGGGGAGAAAAATGGATTTCTGCACCGGCAGCGGTAGCAACATAAAATTCATTATATTCCCAAACAATGGTGGCGAGAGAAAGGACCGTCGCCTTTTCAGCGCGGACAATGTCCACAGCGGCTGGCTGAATAGAGGTTTCAATTAGCTCGGCTGGAACAAATTAGATCTGAAGTAGCATCCTGGATAGACAGATAAAACAGATAGGGATGCACACAACAAACAGGCACAAAGACACAGAGTGAGGCACACACGGTGAGACTTAACAAATGCAAACAAACACTGATGTTGGGCTACAGTCTAACCTCACATAATAAATAAACCTCACTTTATAACTCCTGCACTGATGAATCGATGACATGAATGAGACATGACTATTAGGGTTAAAATAATAGAAATCAATATTTTGGGCCTCAATTAACTTGCTTTGTTGACAAAGTTTATTGGGAAAAAAATATCAAAGATCAATACAGCTCTGCCGTCTGCGCAGTAAATATGACTTCTGCCGTATTGATTAATTAGAGAATGCATGATGTGTTAATTAGTGAGATTTTGAGATTTTTGTTCCTGGCATTGATTTTCCGATGCTCATCAGCAAGAAAGCTAATGTCCTCCTAAAAAAAACATTAAGCCATTCAACAAGTAAGATTTAGAAAGCAAGCAGAAGCATGCAAGGTGTCATAAGGTTTTAGCATGATCTGTAATCTAATATAAAACATATTTCAATAAACATATGCCCTTTTACAATGTTTCGTCATGTTCAGGATTCCAGCTCATGATAAGCACATTTTTATTTCCAAAATTATAAAATACATTGAGAATAAAATGTCACACTTCTCGAACTTTGGCTGTGCATGTGTGGGGAGTTGACCACCTAAACATCACTTTAAATTAATGCTACAAATATAAAGAATGGACAGGAAGTCAGATGACAGCAGGAAAGCAGTTTTTGATTTAATGTGACCTGCAGATATAAAGAAAGATTTGCTTAACTGAAACTTTATGCTCACAAACAAAATTTTAGGTCACATTTGTGGTTCGGCTGTTTCTTGAAGTTTTTGATTGTTCACTTCTTTTAAATCCTAGATTACACAACTTAAATGGATCAAAAAGTGTTTCCAACAAAGAACTTTTTGTTGGGATAACAGAAATTTGGCCTTTCATTATAGACTGTCTAGATTTGCTGCATAGATTATCTTTGTAGCTTCAGTGCTCACTAAATATCTTTCCGTGCCATGAGTAAGCAACCTCATATCAGTTTGGCATTTTCCTAAATACTTTGTTTAAAACTTAAGATTTTTAGGTTTTCTGGCTCTAAGAAAACTATATTTTCCCATCACCCTTTAATAGGTGCAAAATTTTTATCTACATGTGCCAAAAATATCGTGATCTGTTTTCATTGGCAATGATGATGATGTCAAATGAATATTTAATTTATTCATCCAACTCTTGTATCCACTGAACTTCTTCAAATCAAAAACAAAAAGAAAGAAACTCACTAAATTCCCTTCCTGTACTCATTCAGGGGCTTTTTGATGCCTGAATCTCCACATCAATAAAGATAGAAAATGTATGCCTTTGAAGCCCAGTTGTTTCTCTCAGCTTTCAGTGCTCCATTAACCTTGTAATTAATACCAAGTAGGCTCTCTCTCAAGTTTGCCTGCTTTGGCGCTTTGTTCTTAATAGCTGGCAAATATCAGAGATGTGCGCCTTTGTATAGGAGAGCCATCTTGCTGCCACCCACTTCACTTAGAGGCTCTGAGACATCAACATCTCCCCAAAGAAAGAGAGGCGACAGACAGCACATCATGTATTTATCTCCACCTTGATCACCGTCTTGCTAATTCTTACTGGAACTGGCTGTAAATGCAACTTCAAAGGCTTTTAAGAGACAGCAATCTTTCCAGATGTATCAGGTGTCCCGCCCCTAAATTTGTGATGAATTGCTGTAAAGAAGAAAGCAGTTGGTGTGATCATATAATAGTAATTGATTCTTGTTGGAGCAATGCATATTAGAAGACTACTTAACTAATACTTTCAAAGGCAAGTTAAACATTAATTGATGGCTTGATTATTGATACTGATGGAAGAAAGGAGAACAAAGAATATTTCAGATGTAAATAATAAGCATGGATCAAAATGTTCAATGGACTCTTTGGATTGAAACTTGAAAAAACTTACAAAACTTTTTGTTTCATTGCTTATGCAACTGCAACACTGGTTAGTAGGGATTCTGTTTACAAGACATGTCTTTGTTTTAACCAGTAATGAAGTTATGGCTTCCTTTAGCCATAATGTAATGCTTGTTATTCCTTCTCGTATACAGTACCCCTAAGTCAATTCTTCCATGTTAGCAAATCTCAAGGTCATTAACGCAGTGAAACTAATTGCTCAACTAAATATAATTGTGTTTTATAATTTGAATTAAATTTGACTGCATTTTTATTTATTTTTTTGGTAATGAATGATTTCAGTAGAAGTTGGGTGGAATTGTGGATAAAACCAGGGCTGCACTTTACATCATGAATATATCATCAGAGCAAGATCAGTGGGTGCAATACTCATATCACAAAGGACTGCAATATTTGTTGGCTAATGTATTCCGACTGTTAATTTTACATACTACTGTGACTTTTTTAGCCAGCAGGACAGAGTCCCATGACAGCAGATGACACACAGATGACAATGCACAAAACAGCAAAGGTCAAAAAGGAAAGAATAAAAAAAGAATAGGGACACACTGCAACTGATATAGTCATTGCAATATTTGTAGTTTTAATGCTACTGTGCTTTTTGTCCTATGTCCAAATAGATACTTTGGACACATGAGTGGATGACAGAACCTATATAGTGCATGCTAATTTTAAATATACCAGCTGAGAAAAGTGCAGACTGAGGAGTGCTTCAGTACAAGCCCAAACATCTCTTGTTGGACATTATTTGAACTGCTATAATATAAATTCAAATTGTGGACATAAAGGGAGGTGACAAATTAAATATATGACCTGAATAAATTAGTGGACAAACACAATGCATCGACCAGGTGCAAAGCATGGCATAATTCAGCAATTAACTTCCAATCAAGCTCTGTGACACATCTAAAAAAATACTAAACATGGCCAGCTGATGCTGGTTTTGTTTTAAAATGGTAGAGAGAAAAGATCTGAGTGCCTTTTGTGTTTATGGGCCCAGATGGCACAGACTCAGTCACTGCTCAGATTGCTGGTGTTTCAATAGAAACTGTGACTAAAAAGGGACATCTGCATTAGGATCTATGAAAGATGACGAAGAAAATCACAATGCAATCATTCTCTCAATATGAAAAGTCAGCCAGTGAATATACTTTGTGGAAAATGCTAATTTTTCATTTTAGACATAGGAATAAATTATTAACACTGTTAAAAATTGTTGGAAAAAAGTATATATGATAAAATAAATCACTGTTCGCTAGATTCCCTTGTGCCAGGTGACTGCAGGTGTAACAACGTTCAAAGGAGACAAGTCGGCACTTCTGTAAAGTTGTGGAGGAAAATTTGCTGGTGGGAGTAAGATTTAGTTTTCATACTCGGAGGTCATAGATCACAGAAAACCAGCACATTATTCTACATAAATTCACCTCTAAGACAATAAAATGATTTTAAAAAATCATCATGGATCTGAGCTTGGACCTTCACCATCATTTATTATAATGCTTAGCCAACAAGTACAGAATGTATTTGAACCAATTTTTTTTTTTTTTTTGTAGCATGCTTACATACCTACTTTGTAAGTTAAAATGTAAAAATCTTTGCAATGTGCAAGTGTATACTACAAGGTGGTTGTTTGAACTAGGCTATAAAGTTGTTACCAACAGTAATTACCTGTAGTAGAAAAACGCTAACTGTAACTTACAAAAAATAGACTTATTCCCTCACTTAACTGAGCTAATGGCTGGAGAAAGGCCAACTTCAAATGAGATTTTTTCTCATATTAAAACAGTTTCAAAATCAAAACTGTAAAGAAAAACAGAGGACGACCTTGTTTTTAGGCTAGATTGCTTATTAGTTACTTCACAGGTATCAAAAAGAAACAGGACAAGTGGAGACAGAGCATGACAGAGCATCTGCATAGTATTTAAGAAACTAAATACTGCTCTTTTAGGGATACAGCAGCAACATTTGCAGAATATAAAAATAAATTAAGTAGCAGCATGAAAAACATGAGATTAAAGTCTAATTTCTACTTGAATAGGATTAAAGATTTTATAAACAACATGTGAATTCATACCATGACCACTTATTTACAAATAATGCCTAAACATAGATAATGAACGTCTACAAGCTCATGTTAAATGTACTTTATCATACCGTCTGGGGGTCTGTTAGAGGTGGCCACCACCACCACTCCGGTTTTGAACAGTGCCTCAAACAGCTGCTTCAGGATCATGGCATCAGCAACATCAGTCACCTGAGAGAAGAAAAGCAGAGAGGAGAGCGGTGTTCAGGTTCAGTGCAGTCTGCCTTTTCATGCCACACGCACACACACACACACGCACGCACACCCACACACGCACACACGTGTATATGTTTGTGTTTGCATGTATCTGAGGTCAAATCAAGTCGTCAACACTTCATGTTTATTAGTCTCTCTCAGGTGCTCTCATTCAGTCCTTTTTATCCGATCAAGGCCGCTTAGACTTTCATGCACACACACCCCTCACCCACTTGAACTGACTGCAAAATGGTCACAGAGCGATTTTCTGCACAGGAAAAGCAGCAGATCTGAGCTGATCAAGTGAGCAGACAGGGGAGCGACAGGATGCAAGAGCGAAAACAGGAGAAGAAAAGAAGCATGAAAACAGAGCAATATTAGTCAGAGCAGGGGTCATGATTGCAAACAAAGCCTCTATCAAAGAGGGGGTCTTATAAAAGAATATGAAACGTGTGTCTCTGTGTTGGGTGAGCTACACACACAAGGTCACACAAAGTTACAATACATAAACCCAATTCAACTGTCTGCTGCCTTTTTCATCTACATCATTTCCATGAATCCTCAATGAACAAAGGTCGATGAAAAACACTGACGCAAGGACATTTATGAGTCGCTGGCTGTTAAATGAAGAGCTCTGACCTTTCTATTAGTAATCCAGTGCTCTCACTTTTGTTCTTATTCTCTCATCTCTCCCTTTTCCACCTATGTTACTCTTTTGAACATCCATAAAGGGAGAAATCATGGTAGTGTGTGATGGCCAGTAGTCAAAGCAGCATGTATTAAACTCATTTGATTAAATATGATGACTGGCTGAGGAGAGTTCAAAATGGACTAAAATTAATTAAGTCAGATCAGTTTGTTGCCAATTGTGATTAAAATCAATTGAAATGCTGCATTTACATCTATAAAAACAGACAATTACTTAATCTTTAGATAATAAGTAATGTGCTATTTCACTAACTGGTATTTTTCTAATCTCAGGATTAAAAAACAGTTGAGTTGTCAGAAACTCAAAAGAGAGAGATAGGTTTAATACTCTGAAATGGCAAATATTTGAGGCTCATCATATATGATATTTTTAACATTAAAGAAAGCAAATATCAGAAAAAGGATTTAAAAAGTCTGCTGCTGCTTCTGAACAAGAAGTTATGCAAAACCAACTGCAGAAAGGTCAGATTTTACAATGGTTCTCTAAAAGTGACAAAGCTGTCTGAAGTTGGTTTTAAAATTATCAATACACTAAATTATGAAAAGTTTTTTTGCTTCTTGAGCTTTTTCATATTTTGTTACAACTGCAAACCTCAAAGTAAATCACTTGGAATTTATATGAAGCCAACACGTGTCAAAGTCCAGAGAAGTATTCACCTGTTTGTCTTTATAAATAAGAATTTATCAGCAACAATTTCTATGTCTTACCAAGTCTTTTTAAAATTTGGCTGGGTTTATTTTATCACATGAATAGAATTTGATACAAATAATTTCACTGTAGCTTTGGCAGTAGGTTTAGAGTGGTTGAACTTATACCCTGATCTCCAACAGACTTCCTGGCATGCTTGCCCTGTTTAGCTCCTCTTCCCATAAAGTCTAACCAGCTTCCCTAAAAGCATCTCCATATTACAGTGAAGCCACTATACATGATCAGGGTGATGCACAGTGTTATTTTTTTCTGTAACACATAGCATTTTGAATGAAGCCCTTTCATTTGGACTGTGTCTGTGCAGCCAGACAGGCCCGGACATGTTTGCTGTGCCCTTTGCGGTTTTGAGACACTCCTAGTCTCAAAGAACAGTTCTTATAACTCTGTGAAGACTCCTGCTATTCAAGACGCTGAATCCAGACCCTGGCCTGCAACATGAGCAAGCAGGTGTCCGTTACACCGCCCTCTCCTCTTACCTATTTTTCCTGTAAATAACAGGCACTTCTGATTGCCATACCCACAGCATATGCCTCCTTTCATACTCTGAAGAGTCTTCTGCTTTTGCATATTAGCTCCACTGCCCTTGCCAATACTTGATTAACATTTGTGTTAAAGCCTTGATTTTGCTGAGAAGAGGTGGCTAAGGGCATCAAATTAGAGCGTGCACACGCGAGCCAGTGATTGTGAGTGAGCGTAATGAGAATCAACAGAAAGCCAAGGCTCTGTGTCTCTCTGAAGGGGCCCCTGTGTTTGCTGCGACCACAGGATTTTATTTTCATTTCAAAAGAATCATTTAAAAATGACCTTTTATACTGCATGGATTTGTTTATTCATGTGCCCTCAACATGGTCACGGTATGAGGGGCAATATTGATTGCTGGGTGAGTAGAGAGAGAAAGGGGAGAAAGAATGGATCCCCACAGAATGAGAAGGGTGGAGGGGGAACGATGTGGCACTTGTGGAGCACAAAAATAATGGTGCAATCGCGGTTAGTCGTTGGCGAAATTTAAATGAGCAGCCAATTACTCAAGTGTGTCAGTTTGCAGCGAGGCACACGGGTGCCAAATGAAGCCTCTTTTGATGTTACACCTCTTTATGTACACAACCTATGAGTAATTTCACCAACGGAGGCTGCACTGTGACAGAGACCATAAGACAATGCTGTTCAAGCATCGTCTTCCTCTTCCTCTCTCGCCGTCTTCCCATCTTTCCATCTCGGACCTCTCGACGGGCGAGTATTCATTAGGAGAAACCCGAGAGAAAGGAGGGAGGGGGGGCTACAAATTACTGATAATGGCACAGAGCTAATGAAGAGAATGGAGAAATGTCATTAGCATTTAAGAGGATAAGATCCATCTGACCCGCCACCGCCAGTCGCTTTCTAGCTCCACTCACTTAAGGAAGTAGGAGAGCGCGACTGATACCCGGAGCCTCATTTGCATGGCTGAGTGGAGGAGGATGCTGATTGGTACGGGCCCCAAACCCACACACATGCATACACACACACTTTCTCAACCTCTTGTTTATGCATCCCAAACAACGCATGTCTGCTTGTTTCCCCTCCATTCACTGGTAGCAACAGTTGACAAACTGAAAACTGCAAAGCCAGGCGAAGGCGAACAAAACAAATCAATGACAGCGTGCAAACAGCGCTGTGGCTCGTAAAGTGCATGAAAAGGAGCTGCTCTTGATCCTTGCAGACACATGGAGTTATTAGAAGGAGCAACTCCACCTTGGGTGACCTCTGACCTATCCCCATATTAACTGTAATGATATCACTGAGAGGAGCAGGATGTGTTTTTGGCTCGGCTGATGAAAAACAGAAATATGCACTCTTATTTGCGGCAGCAGAATGACTAACCAACCTCACAGAGAATAGGGAAAGCTTCAGCTGAGGCTCTCTTGTCTGACACCAAAGGATAGAATAATGAGAATTTCTGCATCCCTAATGACTGAAGGTGCTCTTTAAACCCACAAGAAAAACATAGAAGTTATGCAAGCAAACACTGAAGTACACAAAGACATATATATAAAAGCTATATAAAGACAAGTGAAAATTCTCAAGTGTGGTGGATGTACTGTGAAGAACTTTCATCTGTGCCTTGTAAAATTTCTGCTATGTTCATGAGCAACCACTAGGTGTCCCCAGTTCTGCCTTTTTTGTTAAGACCAAAATCACAAAGTTGAAAAGATCCCAAAAAAAAAAAAAAAATCAACAACATGAAAATAGTGATCAAACAAAAATAATGTGAATATGATGGAATGCTTTTACATTTACCTGGTTCTATGTCTAGACTTTCTAACAAACAGTTTGATCCCAAAATTTACATTGTAGTTCTGGCCGCATGTTTAAAGTTGTTGACCTGCTGGACGGTGAACCTCTGCCTCATTCTCAAGTCAAAACAATTTCCAAATTTGGCTCTATCTATTACCCAATCACTTTGGAGACATTCTCTGTACAGATTGCTTTTAAACTGCAAATAAGACTTTTCTATGACTACCAGATTTGTGGAAGGCACTAATAAGAGTTGTCCTATTATAGGCATGACTGTCGATCTCCTAAAGTGTTGCGATGGGCCTCCTGGCCGCTGCTCTGATTAATGTTCCCCTTGCTCCAACTGTCACATTAAGTAGGATGGTAATCAACTATTTTCTTTACATTTTGATAGCTTTTTATTTTTATCTTTTAATGACTTGACGTAAAAGATTAATGTTTCTAGTTGTTATTGTCTGGTTAATTTCTTAAGAAGCCTTATAGAACAAACACATTATCTCTCAACACACACTGTAAAACAATGTCTGTAATGCACTTGCTCACCTGAAACTCATCAAAACACAACAGGCAAATCTCACTGCTGATCTCCATGGCAACCGGAGATATGGGGTCATAGTTGAACATTTCCCCTAGCCTTCGCTTCGGTAGGCTTTGTTTCCTGCGGTGGATCCCTTTAAGCAGCAGACAAATGTCAGGAAAATCTTAAAAGCGCACCTGCGTCGACAGCCGAAACTACTGAAGGCGCTGAGTAAAGCTGTAATTTCACCTGGACGGATAATGGCAGACAATTAACCCGGGGACAAACAGATGGATAAATACAGGCTCGCCAATGCACAATAAGCTTAAGAAGAAAAAAAAAATTAATCAGAAAGTCAAAATGTGATGAGAAAAGGGAAGTCGCTGCTTACTCTTATGGATATCCAACATGAAGCTGTTGAAATGGACTCTCTTTTTGCAACTGTTTTCCACATGGGAGTAAAACAAATCCATGAGCATGGTCTTCCCTGAGCCTGAAAGGGTCACACAATTGGAAAAAGAAGGAGATTATAATGACTTAGAAATAACAACAAAATTAAAGAGAAAAAAAAAACAACAAAGATGATTTGTTTTATCGATTTAGCCATAATACAGACGCAGATTCTTACCAACATTTCCATATATATAGAGACCCTTAGGAGGTGGTGGTTGTTGTGGAGGAGGTTCCTATTTGGGGGGTAAAAAAAATTAATGAGCTTATAAGCAATATTTTTTTTTCTTTTTAACCAGTGAACACTCCTTTATAAGAAGGTCCTGGCCGTCACAGAAGCACAGAAAGTTATAAGAGCGTTTACAATGAAATGCATTTAAGGAGATCTAAGTTTTTGATCTCGGATAGTTTTCAAAATATTCAGCTTTTATCCTAATAATATCCTGTCTGAATTAAGTATTAACTACTTATCAAATTTAATTTTATATGCACTGATAAAAAGGTAATTTTTTTTTCTTAATTTGGATTGGTGCAACTGAATAGTCAGATTATTTTTCTCTGCTTATTATATGCATCTAAATTAAAAGCTCCAAGCTTTTATTTGCTCCGTAAATAATAACATGTATTTTGATGCAGTACTTGAATTAAATAAAAATCAGATAAAGATTTTGGATGCATATTTTTTATGTATAAATTTGAATAATAATCTTATCAAAAGTTTTCTTTTTACTTTTTGCTGACAGTTTTCTACAACTTTCTCATCATCTGATTAATTCTGTTTTTATCATCCACATGGCCTACCCATCCTGCAACAACCCAATGACGAAGTTGGTTTCTAATTCAGAAGTGTGGGATGTTTTTCGGCATCTGGACTGAGTAAGACTGACTGTTTTTCCAAGATCTAGAACAGTTCAAGTCAGATTAAGAGGGTACCAATGAAATCAGGTTCTTAAAATTCTTAACTTACAAAGTGTAAACTGAATAATAATTACATTTGGAATTTAAATTATTTCCAAGCTAACATTCACATGTTGAGTTTAAAATTTGGATATAAAAGGGCCAGAGATTATGTGAATTTACCCTTTTTTGAATTTCAAGTGATTCAATATTTTGTGGTAACTCAAAATCCCCCCAAATTTCTGATTTGGATGAAACCCATGTTTTGACTAGGTAGATTAAAGATACCCCTTCCTTGAAAACTCAGCATTTTATGGAATACAGTCTTAACAAACGTCGAAGTAATTAGTTCTGTTCTCCCGCTTACCCACCTGTTCCTGCACACTACCAGTCAGCTGACTAGAAGGCAACTTAACTTTTTTCTTCCTTATGTAAAATATTTTCTGCAGGAACTTGAAAATCACCATTACATTTTTATAATTTTTTTCTATATTTCTACTTAAGTTTATGGACAAAGTATTTACATAATTAAATTAAATTTAAAGGATAGCATTAGAATATCTATAATAAGTAATTTGTTCTACCAATTAGAAGCAGCTACATTGTTCTGTTGTGACTAAAAGTACTGAGATGTTTTGATTTTTGCCTAACACACCATCTCATATGGCCCGGAGCAGTAACAAACTCCCTATTACCGAATATAACTAAAGCATCATTTAATAAACAAGGCACGCCAAGGCATAAAGCCAGCACTACAGTGAGGTTTCATATGATCCAGACTGGAACCACTGCAGGAGACGAAGACAAAGGGGATCTAATCAACAAGACAAGCCAGGGTTCCCACGAAAGAAAAGCATCATCAGAGGAACAATGGGGGGATTTGTCAGACAAAACGGAGAGGTCTGGATGAGGCTCCGTACGAGATGGAGTGGACTTGTGTGCACGGCCCGTTTAGCGCTGCTAATTGTGATACGGTACTGTAGCATTGAGGTGCTGCTGGAAGTCATTGTGCTGCCTGCCTCTTATTATCAAAAAGGTCTTTGCTAAAAAAAAAACATCTTCTGTGTGACCGAGATGAGAGTACAAGAGAAAGCCAACTATCACAAAGGAGAACGGAGCATGTAAATGTATCTGCCATCAGTTTGTTCATAAACAAAATTTACTTACAGCTCATATAAGTCTGTAGATGGCTAAATTATAAGCTTCAGGAATGCTGCCGTTGGGCTATCTCCATCTTTGTGACCAGACAATAACGGACTGCTTTGGGATTAAATGCCAAATGGAAAGAACTGTCCTCTTAATATTTAATTTAGAAACCATTTCATGAAGATGGTACTTGGAGTCCAGATGCACTTGGTCCCCACAGCACAAGGAGCACTTGACTCTGATAACTGGCAGCAACTGCAGATGGAAACCTAAATTAATAGCTTAAACTTGTTGCTTCTTCCCTCCTCTTTTGATTGCCAGCTTCCCCCCCCGCCAAAAGCTTCTCCTAAACCAGTCACGAAAAACTGAAAGACCAACAGGCTGTTCCCGTCTGCTCTGGCGTAACAGCGTGCGACTTCTCCTTGACTTCCCAAACTGCCCTCCGGCATGGTGGGGTAATTGTCAGGTGGCTGGTAGCCATTCTGCCACGGCAGAGTGGAGAAGGACAAGGCTCTCCCTCAGCAACTTTGTCTAGTTAAGCTCCACGGGCCAGTCTAGCCTCCTGGTGGACGATACAGACTGGCACATGAGTGAAAAGTTCACATGCAGGACATAGACCTTCTTGTCTTTTAAATTACTCTATTTTTTAAAGCCAAAGATGCTGCATTTCACAGCAAAGTCATCAGAGAGGAGATTTTAGGAGTCCAAGTTAGGTTTAACTTTAATCAAATCAAAATTTTTTGATTTGATTTTAACTTTAATGCAGGAGACTCTACACTGTACGTTCGACTTAAAGGGGGCGGCTCGGACTAAACAATAGTCCATTGTCAGTCAACCATCTGCAAAACCACGCCACATTGGGTCAATATTAAGTCAAGTGTACTCTCCTCACAGACTCAGTCAGTTAGTGGGGACAATGGCGGCACTCTCACAGAGAACGGACACCGAAGGGTTGTGGTATGACCTGATTTAAACTGGAATAATTGCGTAAGTACGCAGTCAGTGAGAATGTGTGTGTGACAGACAGAGCAAGAAATAAGGTGCAAAAGGAGAGGGGTGACGGGTGGGGCAGTCTGCATTGGTGTTGATAGCCTAACACCAAAGCATTTGTCAGTAGCCCAAATCAAAAGCAAAAAAGACAAGAATGGCCCAAACAATAGGGATCCCCTCATTACTGCATAGGGACGGTGAGAGAGTGAGGGGGGTGCCGGGACAGGCCCAGCAGGAGGCCTGCCCTGCTGCCTTCCAAAATCTCTGCCTAACCCTGTGTGTCTGTGCCAGCCCACCAACAAAAACATGCAAAAAAAGGAGACTCCCAGCACCAAATAGGAGACAGTTAGCTCCTCTGACCTAAAAACAACGACAACCCCCTGCATTATGCTGCTCATAACTCGTACAAACAATAAACTTCCCAGACCCCTATCCTTCCTTTGACCTGAACCCCATGGCCACCATCAGTGATGCAACTTGAATACAGTGCAGTCAACTGTACTTCTCCCAACTTTTAAAACATCAGTTGCCTAAGCTTAAATTCCCAAAGGAAATCTGTCCTGCTTTTAAAACCCTCAACATACAGAATCACTCTTTGATTTTCTTTAAAACCATTTGGCTTTAGTGTTATTTCCTACAAAGCACAGACATTATAGCTTTTTATATCTTATTGTTTCAAAGAATTTCTAAAAGAATAAGTTATAACAGGTTTTCCTGTGCATTTAGTAGTTTATCTGGTCTATGCTAAATTAAACAAATCTCAGAATTGTGGCAGGGAGCCAATATATTAGCAACTTCAAGATCTAGGGTAACTTTAGAGTTACAAATACTTGTCAACTCTAACCCAAACCTTGATGTTTTTGCGAGAAGGCTCAAGATGGAGATTTTATTTGTCACATTGACTCTGAGCAAACATGCAGAACATCCATAGTTAAACTGGGGGCGTCACTTGAAGACGGCTGTGGATAAGATATATCCACACAAGGTAAAGGAAACGCTGTCAAATCAAGATGTGGGATGCTGACCTTAACATGTACACTTTCTAGAGCAGTATATTATGGCTGTACTTTTGAAATTTTGCATCAAATAATGGATTAACTTCAAATAATCTTAAAAATAAAATAGAGAGGCATGTTTGTATTCTGTTCTTTGGAAGTGCTAATCTTTTATATGTGCATAATTTATTTGAGGACACCCAGTTTCTAAATCTCAATTTATTTGTTTTGCCCCACAGTAAAAAGGTAATTGGCGTTTCAAATAGCATTGAACTATGGGAAAATGTGCATCTTAGGTTTATTTGTCCATTCTGTTCAGGGTCTACCAAAATTTAAGACTTACCATGTTTGTGTCCTGGACAACAGCATTGATTAAAACAAGTCTTCAAAGACCTAGTGTGTACATCTGCAGTGATTTTGCTTAAGACCATCTAAAAAGCAACACGTCTCATCTTCTTTCCAAACCGCAGCGCAGTGCGTCTGCTTCAAGATGTCCTGATGCTCTGATGCATCAGGACACAGCCTGAGCTGAATCCTGAAGAAGTTATAATAATATCATAGAAACTGAACGAAGACTGGTGAGAACACACGCTGTTTCTCTGTACAGGTACTTTTACTTTTTAGGCATATTGCTGTTATACAATTTCATTGATAGTATCTAGATGAGGAGATAAGTTGTAGAGAAGAGGAATATTTCACATTTATTTAATTTGATGATTGTTGATATAACCCAATAAACTGCTTGTTACTTGTCTCACAACATGAAATACTATTCAAATGTGATTTTATAAGAAGTATCTTACTAAATTAAAAGGAGCAGCACCACAGTTAAATCAATAAATATTATCCACAGGCAATAATGCTAGTATTATTGTCCCTATGTGCACTGTGTTAATGCAGGAGAACTCATATTATGAAATCATTATGCTCACAATACAGCAATACAATTAAATTACCGTTTTTGTTGTTGTAGCATCATCATATAGAGGTTGACTGCTGTGATCTTTGTCGTGTTCTGTTGATGGTGGGTTCAGGTACATACTGTTAGTATAAGTCTTTAAGGTTTGCTGCAGTAGAGCCAGCCGCTGGAGGACATATTTCTGCTGAACGTCCTTCTTTAGGGAGCCACTTTGCACAAGCCGCTCAAAGTGACCCACAATGTCACCGGAGCCACAAAGGTCTGTAGCTGAAGTGTCCGAGGAAGAGGAGCGGGATGACACAGAGAGACTGAAACACCTGGAACCTTCAAAGTACAGCGATGGTATGTATGCATACGTTAATGACTTTACACCGTTTATTAAATTTGTACACACAGCAAAAACAAGCCCATTAAACATTTGAGAAACCACGAACCGAACTCTCACCTTCTGCGGTGGCAGTCCGTGGAAGACGGTAGATTTTATTTACAGATTGAGCTCGTTTTGTCAACAAAAACACTGCAGAGGACTTAACGGCGGCTGGAACCATGTAGGACGCCATGATACTTCAAAGCGCTGCAACTTTATTGAGACAAATAACGCTGCATCTTGTGACATTGTCAAAAAAAATCATTAAATACAATGGGTTAAAAAAATCAAAAGATAACTAACATTATTATAAAAATGAACTTAACAAATTACTATTGAGTAAATTACTATTATTATCAGATTCCTATAATATATTAAAAGTCTAAAAATAATTTATTGCATTTCTGCTGTCCACCTAATAAATAATTTTATGTTTATGTCTTTAAAAGAAGAAGTGGATTGATGTGTTGTAAAATTTTAGATTCACATATTTTCTTGTTTTTATCTTGTTTGTGCCTCTTTATGCCACAACTTGGGGAGAGCCTCAATTGATACTTCTGTCACACTTGTAAACCACAAACAATTATGCTACTTCTAAATTATGGACACAAAATTTTGTTGTAGTCTAAAAAAACAAAATAAACAAACACGTTTTAACTTCAGAAATGTACATGTACAGATTAGCTAAGATGTTTGAAATTTCAAGTTGCATCATACCAACTCTTGACATCTTATCACTTTTGATGTTGGTTTCAGACACCATGAATAGTGGCCCTAAGAAGAAGATAAAAAGACATACTTTTGTTGTTTTCCAGCAAGTTCAAGTTCCTGTATTAAATTGTAAATTTCAGTAGCATTTCAGGATTTCAGAAAGTCAAGTGAAAAAAAATATTGTTCCTTGTGGAACAATATCGATTTTAGTTAAAAGAATATTTCCAGGAAAGATGAATGTTTTCATCTTGAAGTTGTTTAATTAAATTAAATTATTTTAACACATGTTCAAAAACTGTATGCAGGTTTTTTTTTGTTTTTATTTTTTTTTGCATACAGCAGTTCGATTATGTAATTTTAACTCAAGTGAAAAGTTGCTATTCAAGAAATTACTCAAGGAAGGGTTAAAAAAAAGTATTTCGTAACAAAACGACTTGCTGTGTGAGTAACGCATTGGTCTTGTTGAAGATGAAGTGGGTAAAACAAAAACATTCACTACATTAACTCAAAATGCAATGTTATACACACAAATACATTCATATTATTTTAACACAAAATTTAATATTCCAGTTGGTTAAAAATAATCAAACTGGCCAATTTTGTCTTCTGTCTACTAATGACGATGATTAATTAAACCAACATTTCCGCTGGCGAGTAAACAAACTGAGCTACAAACAAGTGGTTGAGCTTCGTCAGCTGAACCTCAGCTGATCGGAAGTACAATCTGTGAGAGTGCAGCATAATTTACGTAACGCACATTCAACATAAAAGCACATACAGATATTTAATATACTAAAATAGTAATTGGACATAAATAATGTCAGAAACCTAAATATTTAGTGATAGTGTATACATCATAAAACTATTCCAAGTTGTTTCCCCATAAATTGTTGAAGTAGAAGGAAGTGCTATGTTCCAGGTATTTTATTTTGAAGAACCAAAGCATTAAATACATATCCGTGTTGCGGCTGCCTTGACAGCATCCCTAGCTGATTGGGAGGACAGGGAGAAATGGCTGATGCTATAGCTGATACGAGAAGGCTGTACACCAAGCCCCAAAACCTAAATGACGCGTATGGACCCCCGAGTAATTTTCTAGAGATCGATGTGAGCAATCCTGAGACTGTCGGGGTTGGCAGAGGCAGATATACAACGTACGAAGTCAGGCTGAAGGTGAGGCTGCATTAACAAGTGCTAGTGACGTTATCTTGTTAGCTAGCTGCCCAAGCTAGCTGACCTGTCTTTTCCTTTTAGTCAAAGTTATAAATAATTGACATCAGTGTTGTCATAGAGAAAAAAATCGTGGATGTTGACACATAGTTCACAAGTAATTGCATACTTGGGTATTATTTTTGAATAACAAGTGTTTAGCTGTTAGTATTTGTGTGGCTGCTGGGTTTATCAGACATTACCTTAATTACGCAATGCTAGGCACTGTTAGCTAGTGTTAGCGTACATGCAAAGTTTTGAAACATATTTTAAAATATAAGCAGGATTGGACAATATGAAAACTGAAATGAAACCTGAATTTGTTCGTCTGTAGAGGCAAGCTCATAAAGCATCGATCTAAAAATAAAACTAGTCGAAGAAAAACAGAATCTAAGATCTGGAAGCTTCTAGAAGCTGATTTTACACGTTCTCGTCATTAAGACAGCTAATATTTAAGTTAATATTTCAGTTTCACTTATAGAAACATTCTATCTACTAAGAAAGCAAAGTGAAATGTTTGTTTTCGCTACGTTTCTCTAAAGTTCATCTTTGTTGCTCTTAAAACAAGATTTATACCTGTAATTAGCAGCAGTAAAGTAATGTTTTGATCTAAAGAAAACGCCACAAAATCTCACCACAAACTTGACTCGTGCTTGTGTGGAACTCAAGACACACCCCATGATTACTGCAATAAATGGATAAGTTATAGTCGCACTAAGTAGTTTGACAAAAGTATTATATGAAAAAGACTCAGCACATCATTTCATTGCCTAGCCCTGACTACACAAAGTCTTGGACAGATAAGGTAACAAACGCATCTGTCCAGCCTGGCATAAACTTTGCAATGTTGAATTTGGTGGCTTTGATTGGTGAAGTCAGTTCCTCTTGCACTTACAAACAGGATGCAGCTTGCTGACAGATTCTCCACTTTTTTCCATACCTCCTACGACACATTTCCTTCCCCCAACTTCATTGTCAAACTTGCAGAGAAGTTCTTTCCACCCATTTGTCTTCACTACAAATGAAGGTGCAAAATGAAATTTTATGGTTGTCCTTTACGGTAAGGGAAATATTACATCGTAAAATAACAGAAAACATACAATTCAAAGGAGTGGACTGATTAGTTTGAGATGACTAATCATCTCAATTTGCTTCTTTTGGTAAGCAAAAATGCACATGTTGAACTATGAATAAGATGGGCCACAACAGGAAATAAAGTATTCATTGCGTCGTTTGTCTCCTGTGAAGTGGAAAATAGGCTATAACTGAAAATTGGTCCTATGGCTATTATGTCAAATGGACCTAATTCTCTCAACAATGTTTCTGACACATTTTTGAAAATATGCCAGAAAGAACTAAGCTAAGGGAAATTCACCTTTTAAAATATCCCTACAAAACTTTGACTGAAAATGTGGTGACCTATGGAGATGATTGTGTGAAGAAGGTTTTTACATAAAATCAAGAAGATTGTGGCCAAACCTGATCAAAGTCTTCATGGGTCTGTCTTAGTTCAACAGAATGTCTAACTAAAGAAACTCTAACTAAATACAGAGCTTCTGCTATTACTGTAGCAGTAATCCAGACTTCTAAAGGAGATCTTTCCTCGCCACAGCCATCACCACCTCCTTAAAAGTTTTAATGAGTAACAGAAATGAGCAACTTTTAGCCATGGTCTAATAATGAGTGAGTGAAGTCAAAAATGACAAACATTTTGCTTTTGTTCCAATCTTCAGCAGAAACAACTCTGAAAAAAGCTTCATTTTTTTTCTCAACTGCTTTTCCAAATGTTAAAATCAAATAGCCTGTCTTAATTTAGTGTAGGTGACAGGCCTCGTTAAACTTTACTAAGACAAATATTTATGTCTGAGAGACAAAATACGACTATTTCGGCTATTGAACCATTTTCTGCAAATGATAGACATTTCTTGTAGCTGATTTGTTTCACGTTTCATTTTTTTACTGCTAGTGTAAAACTCTTTGGCAGTCACAAGGCTCATCTGATTGCCTCATCTTTTATCTCTAACTTGTCATTTCAGTTGACTGACACCCCTGTAGTTAGTGACCTGAAGCATTTAGATTGGCGACCAGCCTTCAACTGTTTTATAGCCTCCACTGTTTCTTAAAGAAATGAATTTAAGGGGATGGAAGCTGTCTCCAGGCATTAGCCTTGAATATAAGGCTACTGTACTTGATTAGCGTGTTATAATTAGCATATGTGTGTAATCAGCATTATTGTGCACCTCATAGCCCTGTGTGACCCTGCTTTGCATAAAACCACAGAAGAAGCGGCACATCTCTCACTTTTCAATAAACGTGGTGTCAACTTAGCTTTGCTTCTCTCCTTCTCCTTTCTTTAGCTTTCTTTGGAGACACTTTCACTCCATCTCTAGAATTTTAAGAGCGTTAGCCACAATGCCCTTGCCAGGAATGCATAGTATTTCTTTTGTTCTTTCTTGCTTCTTTACTTTCTTCCATTTTTAGTATGTTTGTTTTCTTTTAGACTACAGCATCATCCTCTGCTAGGATATACAGTTTCTTCTCTTAACTGTTTTTCCTGTTCTCACCACTGTCCTGATAGTCACCCTGAAATTGAGAGAGTCCTTGTGGCCACACTGAGAGAGTCTTGCTTAATCCCCTCATTGAGAAAAGAGAAGAATGAAACGAGCCATGGTCTGGGGGTGTGGGGGAGCTGGAGCATTTACTCCCCATCTTCACCCCCCTACCCATGGGAGGGCAGAAAGCCACCCCTCTCCACCAGCCTTCATCTCGTCCACTCCTATCCCATTCCTCTCCCAGCTGTGTGCAGTCATTTGCCTATTTAATTGCGTGCTTACTGTTGTTTGGAGTAATAATGTAAACATCAAAAATAATTAGGCATCTGCGAGTTTCTCACGGTATGACGCAGTTGAATAGAAGGACTGTAGAGTTATAGGAATTACTCAGTAATGTAAAAGTAAAGGATGTAAAATTAACAAACAATTTAGCAAAAAATAAACAGTTTTCTACTGGTTATTGCATAGAAAAGACAACCTGTTGCGCTCTTCATAGCATAACATAAGTATAATGAGCTTAAATTGGCACATTTCTCAGGTAGCTCACCTGCAGTGGTCTGCTTGGCAAACACCAGCTTAACAGCTTTACTTGGACAATAGCGTTGCCTCAGAAAAACACACACCTCACAACTGTATGTTTTTTTTTTTTTTTTTTTTTTTTTTTGGTTACTAGAAATATTTCCAAACAAATTAATTTCTTTGCAAGAGGAGAAAACTTGTAGTGGTCCTGTTTCAGAAAGCTGACTGGCAGTTCACAGCAACAGGTGTTAAGAAGGGGCAGCTTGAGAAAACTCATCTTTTTTTCTCTGGGATCTTTTTTAAAAAAATTAAATTGTGGAAACAATTATATTTAACATTTTATTGGTTTTGAAGCATTTTAAAACTTTGATTGCGGTTACTGACCCATGTCTGACAATTACTATCATTAAGCTGTCAGGTTTGCTTTGCATCTTTGTAAAATATTGTCAGATTGTCCTTTTGGCTTATATCTCTGTGTTTGTCTTGGGTTGACATGTGATTAGACACATATTTGTAGTAATATTAAGGGATGTTGTTCAGCCACTTGTTTATTGATTTCAAACTGGTGATTTAAATCAACAAACCGGGTTTTTTTAATTATTATTTTTCAGATGGGAAAGCAAAGTTATTTCTAGAAAATGGCCTGTTTTTCTGAACTTTTCTAAAGTTTTTAAACCATACATTTTCAGTCTCATGAAAAATTGAGAGCAGTTAGGCAAAAAAAAAAAAGGTATGAGTACATCTGGATTTTTTTTTTTTTTTCATTTTTTTTAAAAATTGTTATGTAAAATGAATATTAAGTAATTAATTTATCCATTTTGAATCTCATAATTTTAAGTGAACTTTTTATAACGGTTCATGAGCAATAATATCTGTATTTTCGCCCCTAATTCTTGATGCCTGTAACGGAAAGAGTTACTTTTTCCGTTACTCTGTCCTTTTCTTTCCTCTGCCATATTCTTAGTGTTAATGGTGTCTTTTGGTTCCTGGATCTCTGGAGGAGCTTCCCAAGTAACGAAGAGTATTTTTGTTTGGACCCGCAGCAAAACGCAGGTTGGAACTGGGATGTGGGTGTATGAAGCGTAGGATGGGGTGATGAGAATTACCAACATTTCTTGTTTTTTTTTTTTTTTAGTTGGTTCCCATCTCATCCATTCAGGGAAGCAGACTTTGGGATCTCACTTTGTTTATGGATAAGAGTACATAAAAGGGCTCTTATAGCTCTGTCTCTCACTCGGTCTTCTAGCCCTCCTCTTCTCCCATAGCTTCTCCTCTCTCCTTTTTTTCCCTCTTTTTCATTTGAGTTCTGGGGTGGGGGCCTTTGGTCATTAATAAAATGGGGAGAGACAGGGAGTGTGTGTGTGCAGAGGAGGTGGGGGCGGGGGGCTTGTCAGGCACAGTCAAGTGTAATCCAAAGTCTACAGCATCCTCTTCGACAACTATTTTAATGGAAATAGGGAACATATTGTATCAAGGCTACCATATCCTACTTGAAATGACAGTATCAAAAGTGGGAGTTGATACTATGGCAACAAAGCAGCTTTTTGCCAGATAGGCGAGTCGGAGAGAGGGTAGGCTGTCAGGCCACAGGGGCCGGCAAGCGAGGGAACGAGTGAGAGAGTACATGTAGCGACGAGAGCAAAAGACCCGTTGCCCCAACGCTTTTGTTCACAGCCTTTTTTTTTTTTTTCATTTTGCAATATGATGCAATGAGATGGTATTATGTTGCCATTTTTAATGCCATTATTCTGAAAGGGAGACTATATGGGAGGGGTGAAGAGGGGGTACATGGGGGAGGTTTAGGATGCACACTTTCAAACTTGACTTAATCCATCCTGCTAAAAGCTAATGCATGGTGGCCTTGAACTGTTCTCTCTGGAGATGAGTGATCTTTGTCCACTCTCCCCCTTTCTTTCAGCGCCGCGCTGTTTTTTAAGGGTTCTGCCTCTTTTCAGGCCGGTTTCAATGAGCCCAAGGCATTGTGTCCCACACATTATGATTCACATGCTATTCCTATGGAGCACAGATTGCACCTTGTATGCCCATAATTGAAAGTGAAGCTAGCAGATATACTTTGACAGAGATACAGCTAGCTTTCTGCTTCTTTTTTTAGAACACATTCCTCTTATATATTTTGCTTTTAAATATGACCTCTCATGTTTCTCTCTTTGGAAACGGCTGGTTTTCATCGTTTCCTTTCTTTCTTTTTCCTCTTTCCCTTCAACTAGACGAGGCCGAGTGTGGTGTTTTACACGGTCACTGAAATGCTAAAACCTGAACGGCGGTGGGCTGGTTCCGTGTTCCGATCTGTATAGAGGCCAGTAAGTTGAGACAGCCGCGCTCTAACCTCTAACCAGCCGTGAAGAGAACAGAGGCCAGGGAAACCTGATCTTTGACTCTCGACACTCTCACGCACCGCCTCTTTCTGAGCGTTTTGTGCGAGCAGGAGAAAAAGAGAGTGAGACCTCTCAGATTTCAGCACTGTCGTTTTCATCCCTCCCCTGGTCCTGAAAGGCCAATCTCTTAATCACTGGGTTTGAAGGGATGAAGGAACTGAAAGTCCAGGTGACTTCCATAACTTCCACTTTCACAGCTGCCACCATTGTGTTGACCTGGGTTGGTTTCAGCTTCCTCACGAATAGGCTGCAAACCTTTACATTTACATTGTCAACAAAGCTACTGGTCAAATCATGCACATCATCTCATGCATCTTACTTTACAAATGTCAGTGTGCGCTTGTGTTTGGTCAAGTGTTTTCCTGTGTGCACATGATGGGATTAGAGTCACGGCGGTGGCAGATTACCTGTAACTGTGATCTGTTGTGGAAGGGATTAACTTCGTGGCGCTCCACGCTGTGAAGTAACACGACGCAGCGGGGACGGACCATGGTGAGAGCAGTGCAGAGTTAATGCCAGAGCACTGGGGCGATAAAGCTATGATAATCCACTTCTCCTGTGACCTGAGAAGGAGGAGGAGTGAGGGCCTTATTGATGGCTTTACCTGGAGAGAACTTGAAGTAAGGGGCAATGCTTTTTGAGGCGTGGGGAGTTTTAGAAAAACTCTGTGGGAAAGTGGGAGTGGCAGAGCTTTTAATCAGCATGTAGAAATGGTCTGCTTTATGCGACTGTCACTTTAACCTTTTTGCTTTACTGTACTTTTGGAAAGCCTCTGGACACACTGAGGATTCAAGGTCATTTTCACTTGAAACTCAGGAACTTGGTGGGGTATTTTTTTCAAATGAGTAACCCAAAGAAAGTATCAAATATAGCTGGCATGTATTACCTTAAAGTGAAGTTGTTTGTTTTGCGTTTTGTGTATGTAAATAAATAAAAACTGCCCTGATACTTGAGCATAGTTCTGATGAACATACAGTGGATTGCAAAAGTGATATAGTTATAGAATGTTTTCACATACCATACTGTAAGCATAGACTCTATTTTTCTTTGTTTTGTTATAGAAATGAAGAAATGAAACAAGAAATGAGGCATAAATGAAAAATAAAACAAACATATTTGTTACCAATTAAAACTTTCTTTAAACTTGTTTTCTCTGGTTGAAGTTCATCTTGGCCAGTCAGAAAACTGGAGGATGTCAAGTTTCAGCGCTGCTTTCGAATAGTTTGCAATCGCTATGGTTGAGCAATGGCAGTGAATGTTGGCCATGCTTCCAAATATTGAATCGACTTGAACTGCGCTTCTCTTCATAAGATCAATCTGGTGCGTCATGGCCAAATGTGAGCGATTAAATTTGAACTTCAACAGAGTTCTTGCCTCCAGAAAATGAGCCAAGGCTCCTCACTCCTGACCAACTGTGCAAAGCAAAGTATAGAACGAGGGGCTGCTTTTTACCACTCCTAATCTTGAATATAGATTAAAAATAACAAATTTACAAAATGTTTGACAAAATTCTGCATTAATGTGCCATTCAATTAGGTTTAATTTTCTTTATTAAAGCTCAATAAGAGGAGTTTTATGTGATGTAAGGATGACTTATTTTGCAGATCAAGAGAAATGAGGAGCTAGAGTGCCAAAAGGAGAAACCATGAGTGCGAAATGGCCACTTCTGCTCTGCCTCCTCCTCAATTAGTCTTGCATTGAGCAGATGTAGCTCCCAGCCTCTCCAGCTCCCTTGCTCTTCCTTTATGACCACATGTACCCTCGCTTGTCTTTTGTTCAACCGTTAACTCTCCATCTCGCTTGCTGCACACAGTCACAGTCGCCTGCCCATCGATCAGCCTGCTGCTCGCACTGCATTCATTCTGCACCTACTTGCTCAGTTGCTTCGCTTTTGTGATTTTCCCCTTTTCCCTGAATTCTGACCTTCTGTAAATGTGGCCTGCCCATGAAATGCTCATTCACTCCCTTCTTGTTTGTACATTGTCACTGGATGGCCATGTACCGCCAGGACTAGTGAAGAGCTTTGGCATTGTGCTGTAATTTGCTGTTTGCTTCACTGTTCCTGTCAATGTCGAAACATCTCTCTCTTTTAATTCGAAATTCACTCTCAAGTGCTTGTCAACAGCAACTTTGAATTATGCCCACACGTGTGGATTCACATACATGAACACGCGCACAAAAACCCGGTATGCTTTCTGAGTGGAAAAAGACCTTGGTGAGCAAAAGATTGTTGGAAATGTAAGTTGAACTTTTGTTTTCTGTTCCCTTGAGGCCAATTTAAATTTAGTTGAGTTCATTTTTTTTTCCACTTCTTTTTGTCCTTACCAAGCCACAATTTTCTCCGAATCATGCCATTACCCCCGCCTAAAGTTCAAGGTTATGGACTAAGCTGCATCCCACTTACCTTTTCCTATTTTAAAAATTTAATCTGTGAATCATTACAAATGAAAGATATTCCAGTTGCAAATTGGAAAGTAAAAACTTGTGCTAAATGACCTTGATCTTTGCAATTAGCTAAACAAGCCACTAATGAATTATGTACATTGTAGTAACCCATCAACTGCTCATTTAATGAGGATCCAAACAAATGTTCCTATTGCAGCCTTCTATATGTGTATTTTTATGGGAGCCATATTGGATTTTGAGGTTAAATTAGCAAAAAACTTCCCACTTTTAAAGTGGAATTCCTACATCAGGAAGCCTTCCACTGACATTCAGAACTTTTCTAAGAAAACGGATATCAGAGTAAATGTTTTAAAATGTGATGGTTCTGCCTGTGTTTGTCCTCAGACCAACCTTCCCATCTTCAAGCTAAAGGAGTCCTCTGTGCGGAGGCGGTACAGCGACTTTGAGTGGCTGAGAGCGGAGCTGGAGAGAGAAAGCAAGGTAAATTTTCCATACAAGTTTGGCATTAAGGCTGTAGAGCTAACAGACTGCAAGGTTGATCATACCTACTAGAATAATAAAGAAAATGAGGTTTTGAACCCTTGTTAATAGGTTTGATAAAAAAAAGTTTTAGGCTACGTTCATTCACTAGATCTTGTTGCTAAATTTAAATTTTGTGCTGCAATTAGATTTTCTTTTAATTACACTAATTAAACGCCACAAAGCGACCCGCATGTGTGAAAGAAAAATGTTGATGTCGCACATCAACGTGCTATGAAAGTAGCGCAACTAGAAACCTTCCATAGAAGGTTTCTGCCTTCTATGGATCAATTTCAATATTTATTCAGCAATGGAAGCTGACGGTATTGTCACAGGATAAGATGAAGGAAGCTTAAAAAAAAAGAAAGCACAGCTGTCACAATAACAAATCTTGCAGGTTGAGAAATTGTCTCAGAAATTGTGATAAACAATATAACAATGCAAATTTGTCCTCTCAAAGGCTGATAAACTCTAACTTAAAAAAACAAAAAAAACAGTCTACAAACATTTTAAATATCCATAATCCATAAGATTCATAATCAAACATAGCAACCAAAAACAGTAAATAAAAAGGAAATAAAAACCACACACAACTGAAACTGTAAACCAAATGGAATATGAAGTTTCCGTAAGCAAAACTGACATTCATTTTAATCTATCATTATTGGTGATAAATCAACTTTTTGATGATTAATTGATTATTGTTACAGGCTTAAACACGACTAATTAGCTAAGGTATTTTGTGGAGCGTGAGCGGCAACTTCTGTAGTGAAGTCTGTTTGGCTGCGTGGTTGAAACCAGCAGTGATGTTTGTGATTTGATCTGCTACAGTAACACAGACATCTTTCATAATTTCATAAATATGAATTTCAACCATTGTCAATGTCTGAATTTAAGCCTCTGGCTTCTTTTTTTGGTGCATGATTATTCAACCTCTCACATCAGTGACGCTTTGAAAAAATGTTCTATACGTTTCAGATTTAGGTCCACCTTTGAAAGTGGCACAAAATTTTTTTTTTTTTTTCTTTCGGGAAGTGAAAAACTAGAATTTGCCCTTACAGTCTGTGTTAAGTCTGTTGTGGTTGGAAAAATACCCAGACTGGGACACAATCAGCTACTTTGTGATTGTGGACTTTAGTTTGAGGACTCAGAAATGTTCTTATAAGCTTCACTCTGTCTTGGATTCATTATTTTAAAGCACTTAATAACAGATGCAGGCTTGTGTAACTGTTTTAACTCGGACTGTTCTGTTTTTTTATGAGGTGGTCGTACCACCTCTCCCCGGAAAAGCACTTTTCAGGCAACTTCCGTTCAGAGGAGACGATGGCATATTTGATGACTCTTTCATCGAGGAGCGAAGGCAAGGTCTGGAGCAGTTTCTCAACAAGTAAGTCTGTCCACATCTCTTACATCTTCATCTTTCCTTTTTTATTTTTTTCCATCTTGCTTTGAAGTTAAAATGATTGATTCTTCACAAGTTGTTCTGTGCAGCTGCAGTTATTTGCAGCTCCTTCCTTAGTTGAGGTGGTACTTGAACTTTGCAGAACAATGAAACATTTTGTGTGATAACTGCATGCAACTTTTTCACTTCTCTTCATATTGTTAACAAACTGAACTCTTGGAGACAGGTTGGCCTTTTTCCCGCTATCCTTCTTAATTCTCTTATAATTATCTTGCCGAGGACAAGAAAACCAAAAGAGGATTCACACATGCACCCCCACAACATCATTTTTTTCCCCCACATTTGTTTTGTTGTTGATGTGTAATTTATGTTAATTGCAGCTCAAATTACAGCGCGTGGTTCCCCGGGATGGTGTGTACACCTCTGCTTATTTTTGATCCAGCATGTCCTCGTTTTCAGACACCGAACAATAAAAGTTACCGTATGATTGTAATCATTTGCTGTGATAGCAGACTTGGCCATTATCTTTGTTTCATGTGCAAATGCACCAGTGTTTCCTGTCGGAATATTAAGCGCGTAAAGACAGTTGAGAAAATTAGAAACCACAAATATGTTAAAGTAGAGGAAGATGATTCAGTAATTAGGATTTATACCCCTCACGCCCGTCTTTGCTTTCTGTAAGTGAAGTACTGCTGTTGATCATATTATTGTTCAGATGTATTACTGGCCAACATTGTTCAGTCTGTGATTGAGAGCATTGTGAGGAGTAATTCTTTTGAAATGCTAAAGATGATTGTTGCTGTGGAACAAGTAAGAGGGAGGAGAGAGGAGAATGATCACTTTTTGATTACACCAGTTAAACATAATTTATACTTCAGGTAAGAGAGAAGAGCTTGAATCTCCTGTTTGAAAAGGCTTTCATGTTTAACATCCTCATGGCTCTTGTCCTTTGGGCCGATGTTTCCATATTTGCTAAGCAGAATCCGATCAGGCAAGATCGGTTTTTACTTTTTTTTCTTCCTTTTTTTTCCCCCTTCCCAGTCATTTCTCTGGTACTTGACCTGAAAATCATTCTGCGCTGTTTCATCTCTCTACAAATGTTTCCCCATCAGAGGTTTAGATGCGTCCATGTGTACGATGTTGTTGTGTTGATCTGCTCGGAGTGATTTAGCATTTTAAAGAATGTCATGTTTAAGGGTCTCAGGTGCACTGGCCCGTTCTCGTTATGCTGCTGTGCGTCATCTCAACGGGCCTTCAAGAAAAGCTGATGTCAGAATAGCTCTTTAAAAGGAAATGGCATTAAAAACAAGAATTTATAGCAAACCAGATGTAATAATTGCTGACTTTGATTTGAACTTTCTGCTTTTGATTAGTTTTTACATGAAAAGTTTTGCTTGTAATTTGAGCAGACAAATAAGTGAAATTTATTTTGGCGAAAATCTGTGTTGAACTAAATTCATAATGTAGACCTTGGAGGTTATTCCTTTTTTTTTTTATAAATTTAATTTCTTCACGTTGGCATTTGCATGATTCTGTCCAGAGTAAAATGTTGTGATGTAGGTAAATTTTAAGCATTTAATTTCTTCCAGTCAAGTTCTTTCTCCTTCGCTGAGGTTAGGAAGTTTGGATGTCACAATACAATGACAATCAAATTTTCTGAGATATGCATTACTTACATTATACTGTTGTTTTAAAAAAGTGATAAGCATCTTTTTTTCTTTTTTTTTTTTTTTTGTCAGTGAAATTTTACATCAGCCACAGAAATCCTAAAGTGTATAAGAACATCAAGAGTTCCAGTGATTGACACGGCATTTATCGACCGAATTCATTATTTCATCTTAATTAGGGTTTTCCTGACTATTTATTCTTGGTTATTTTTGCAAACGATGCTCAAACAACAAAATGCAAAGAATTAATGAATGTTTGAGCTTTTTTTTATCAGTACCATTCAAATGATTCCTAATTATTTTCATTCTCGACCAGTTCAGTTTCATATAACTATGCCCTTGTCTCAGTGTGAGTAAAACAATTTCTCTTGCTTTTATGTGATTCTTTTCAGAGTGGCCGGACACCCTCTAGCTCAGAACGAACGCTGCCTACACATGTTTCTACAGGACGAGTTTGTGGACAAGAACTACACCCCATCCAAAATCAGACAAGCCTGAGAAAAAAACAAATGAATCATAGCTCTGCTTGGCCTGGTCCGGCTCAGTCTGGCTTGACCCCACAACCAAAAGCTCTCTTCATTGCTCCAAATGTCTCTCAATAAACTTTTTAGTGACACTTCCTTCTTTCCTACACTTTCTAAAATATTATTTCTTACCTATGTAAGTTTAATTGCTAAATCACTGATTAATGTCTGTTTTGACCTTCCAAATGAAGTCAAGAATGTTCTATACACAGCTGTGGTCTAAAGTGATTCACGGATATTTTTTCTTCATGTCTAAAGATGCCACTAACAAAAATATATATTTATCATTTTTCTTTGTTCTGAATATATTCCTTCATATGTTACTTTTGAATGAAACTTCTTTGTATGCAACGCTTGTGTAATGTCCCACACCATCCTCCATCTACGACTGGCACATTGCTCTCCATGACCAGAACCAAACACACACACACGCACACACACACACACACACACACACACACATTCGATGGACCTCGACTTTCAAGCCACACTTAGTTGTTGTCTTAAAAAGGATGCATGTGTGTGTCTGTGCGCATCGTGTCCACCAGCACCTACTTGATGATCACCATGTTTTTTCTAGCATGCAGTTTACACAGAGAGAACTGCAGTATTTCTACTGGCAATATGCATTTTGAGATTTGTATACTGCTGTGCCATTTTTTGTTTATTTTGAAAAATTTTTCCAATAAAACAGGTGAAATGTCTCCGCCAAAGTGCATTTTGTCGTCCGAGCCACATCATGCTCGCATGCAATCGCACTGTCGAATTGTATTTAGTGTTTAATAAATAAATCTTCATACAGTTTTATTAAGAAGTGGTGGCTGTTCAAAGGATTTTTATTACAGTAGACGAGGTACATTTTGTATGAAGTGTTTGAATTGTCTGTTCAAATGATGCACAGTTGTTGCAAGGCCTTTTTAATTTTAATGTGCAGGTAAAATGGCTGTTAAATGAATAAATATTTATAATGTAGTTAATAAATTCTACCAATTTGGCTGGAATCAAGTCTCGATAACAGAGCGCTTATCCTCACCATGAACATCATTTCACGCTTTCATTGATTCGTATGAACCATTTTAACTTAGTTTAGACTTTTAGGAACTTTAAACCTACAATTCCTGTAATTTATAAAATATCACTTCTCTATATTATAGGAATTCATTGTGGCTTATCAATTTTTTTTCCACAGGATCAAAAATAAGCGTGCACCTCTAATAGTTGTGTAATTCTCTTATGGCAAGTTGCAGGAAAACTAAAGGATTTGATCAGTCATCAATAACTGAAATAATTGTCGTGTCGTCTTGATCTTAAGGAGCAGAACTAGTTTCCTAGTGTTTGAAATATCAAGAAGGTCTATATCTCAGACTTTCCAGAAGCTTAAAGTATTATTTGTATTAAAAAAGAAAAACTTTTGGCACATTGCTAAACCCAAGTTTTAACTAAGCTGCCAAACTAGATAGAAGTTGAAGAATTATGAGCATTGGTCTCCATGTTCATTATTTCTTCCTGTGAAATACACCAGTACCACTGATACTGAATCAAGTTCTCAGCATGATACCACCATTGCCATGCCTGAAACCTCCCACAGTGTTATTTGGCCACCATTTATTCACCAAACACTGGTTTTGTTTCATTTTACCAGAAAACATTTGGCTTTCCCTTTGAGCAGCTACAAATTTTGCCTATGCCTCAAAGTTCCTGTATCGAAACATGAATTTCGGTCTTGGTCGGCACACTTTTGGGTACATGTCTCCCAGCAATTGATTGACTTTGGTTATTCATAAATCTCCTCTGAACTGTTTGAGTCAGGTGATTAAAACTTCAACACAGTTGTGTGTTCCAGCAGGGGGTGGGGGATCATCTGAGACGTACACATTGAAACTTGCTTTGAACAAGACATTGCAAATTCAAATAAGCTCCTGGAACATTCCCAAACCTTTAACCCATATCTATTCCAGACGGGAAACTACGGAAACATTAGTTTAAATGAATAGCAGACACCATGTGGTTTTTCTACAAATTGTTAAGGGACTTTTTTTTTTTTCAAACATTAGTGAGGTTGCTTACACACACTTGGGGCTGTTTTACTCTTTGTGTATTAGAGAAATGTTGCATTCAGTTCAAACCTATTTGCTCCCATGATTGAGAGCAGAAGTGTTTTGGGCTTTTTTGCATCAATATTCAGAACAAATCATGAAAGTTGATCAAATGCATTAATCTGTTGGTGTGTCAAGCAGTGTAATAGGATACTGAATTGTGACAAAGGAACATTTGTCCTGTTATTAAATGGATATGCCATGCATTGTTAGTTGTATGTTTTGTATCTTGGACGTTTCCAGGGTAAAAATAATCACGTGCAGGAGGAGCAACATCAGTCTGCAAGATGAAAAATCTTCAACTGCTGCTGTATTCTGGTATCTGATGTATGAAACCCGCTGAGTTCAGTCTTCATCTCTTTTATTCTCATTGTTACAACTCTAAATAGTTATAACTCAGGATATTTACAGCAAACTCGAACACAGGGCACAAAAGAACATTTCCAAGTGCTGAATATTATTTTATCCAATGTTAGTGTCTGTCTTCACAAAATCAACCTAAAGACATTTTTGAAATGCTGCTGCATCTGAAAACAGTGCACACTGACAGACAGGACAGCAGCCTCTGAAATGACTTCCTTGAATAATTTTACAGCAACATTTTTCATTTCAAAGTTTATTTTCTTCGTCGTTGCCCCCTTTTGTGCATTTGGTTTCAGCACTGGATTGCGGAACAGCGACTCGGGGCCCTCTCGCTATTGGGGCATCTTTTTGGTTTCCTCCACTGGGACTGAACACAGCAATTACAAGATTAAATTGGTCATCAAGCTCATTGGTCTCAAAGACACTCGAAAGACATCGTAATGTACAGCATTTATGTTTAAAATGGACTTGGCAGGCGCTCTTTTAGAGTCTTAAGGCGACATTTAAATACTGTAAACTGCAATTTTCTGAACCTAATCCTTAACTAGTGCAACTGTTAATAGGCGATCTGGCTGTGTTGGCGTCTTTACTTCAGTGTGGAGCCTACAAGCCTAAAAAACTTTGTGCTTCGTGAAAACTTCAACCCCTGCTGCACCTACGTTGAGTTGACCTGTCCAGACCTGGGTGGATGTCTCAGTCCTTTTCCACACCTCTGGACAGTCAGATAGTTCATATATCACTTGATTTGTACATGTCGGACAGAAGCCTTGTGATGGGAACGTTCCCGATGGTCTTTTTGAAGAACACTTCCTCTATGGTGGAGGGGCTGACGGAGCGGAGTGCTGGGAGGAGAAGCAGCAGCTTCCCGAAACGGCAGGGCTGAGTTGGGTACCTGAAACAGAGAAAAAGGTTCTAAAACAACCTTTTATACATGTTCTGTTTAGCATAACACTAAGAAAGAACAACTATTTAAGACCAAGAAACATGATCCCTCAGGTTGAAGTTAAGTCTGCATAAAGCAAGTAATGACAGACAGGTTTGGATGAATTAGATTCTAACCCGTGGTGTTCCGTGAAGCAGAACAGCTGTATTCATAGCTTGCAGAAAAGTAGAACAAGAAGAAAGAAATATTCTTTTATTCTACAAATGGGTAACCAGACAGTCTGGCTATAAAAATCCCACCTGCAGTTTGCTTCAAGACAATAAGGACAGAAGGGTGTATGTGGACAAAGGGATTGTGGTCAAATTAAACCATTTAGGTCAACATACAAAATGCTTTTGTGGTGGGAAAAATTTTGTAGTATTGAAAATTATTCTGAACTTATCAACCACACAGTGAAATTTGGTGATGGTGGCAGCATAGTGAGGAATCCTGTCCTTCAGAAGAAAGCAGGGAAGCTGGATGGATCTAAATACACACTGATACACCTTAAAATAAAAGAGTTTGAGGCTGCAATGACTTCACCCTGAGGTCAGAGTTCACTTCCCATCAAGACAGTAATCCTAAACAGACAGCCAAAGGGGACAATTCAAGGGAATTGTTGAGGTCAACATATATTCATGTTTTAGAATGAATCAAAACCTGAAAAAATACTGTATTTTATTTTATAAAGGTTCTCCATCCAAATGAACTGAGGTTGAGTTTTTGTGTCAGGGGTCTGCAAACTGTGGCATCAGAACCACAATTGACTCTTTGGATGCGCTGCAATGGCTCAGTAACCTATGCTAAAAATGACAAAGAGCAAACTAAGGTTTTTAAAAATAAATATAATCACAAATTAATTTTTAAGCAGTTTTCTAATTTTGTTTAAAAATAATTGCAAAATAGAATGACACTAAAAGGAATAAAAGTAATCATTTTTAGATCTATTTTTCTTGTCATCAGTTTGAAAACGATGTGTTTGACTTTACATCATTTTCCACAAAGATCACCATCCATTAGAAGACAATACTTTTGTGCAAGGTTTTTTTCACATACCTGGTGTGGATATAGCTGTTGAGTGTGAGCTGTGCTTCATCTTGTAGGGCAGCGATGGCGCTGGCATTGCGGAAACTTCTTAATTCAGTGCTGCCTTGGGTAGGAACTGTAAAACATAATCTGTTTAGGTTTATGGAACAGATTAAGTTGAGGTCGCTCAAGATTGAACTATCCCCTTTGACTTTGCCAAGGTAGCATCCTGTAGAATGTTTTTTTTTTTAGGAAGCTGACCGCTACACACCTGCTTTGAACGTTACAATGCATTTTAAACATGCAAACTCCGTCGCGTCGAGGCGCATCTGTCGGAATCTGGTCACCACCTCCTGAAGTGCCTGGATCTCAGACATGATCTTGTTCATCCGCTGAGATTCTGTGTTTTCTGTGTTCATCCCTGTATATGGGAAAGAGAGAAAAGTGTTGCCATTTGGGAAAAGAATGCAGCAGCAAGCAGTCACACACTGCCTGCATGTAGAAGGATTTTAGGATTTTACTTACCAGAGACAGCAAGAAGAGTCGAGGAGTCCACAGGAATTGCCCACTGAGCGATACCCAGAACAAACAACTCTCTCCAGGCATCCTCCAACAGAATCAACTGGAAAATGATTGGTCTGTTTAAGCCACCATGAATATTTGTCCACTTAAGACATTTTTATTAGATTGTCCATCTATTTTTTTGTCCCCCCAAAAATTACTTTTGACTGGTAATGTTTCTCTAACACACCGGATATATTCAGTTACATTTTTGTGAAGTCACTATGACTTCAAAACTCTTTCTGAGCTTAATTATGTAGCTGAGAAACTGTGATATAATAGAAGTAAATAAATAAATTAGAACAAATGATGTGTGAATCAGCAGAGCATAATGCCCAGAGACACTGAAGAGATTAACTGCAGGAACTTCACCACCATAAAACACCAGAGGGCTCAATAGCAGCGCGCTACTTTATACACACACAGTACTGTGAAATTTAGTCAATTTGAGTATTTTGACCATGTTATCCTTTTTAGGCATTATCTGGTACAGCACATTGAATTGTAACAATTATCTTTTAGCTTTTTTAAATAAAGTTCATTATTAGTATTATTTGTCTGAGAACTGGCCTCGTATATTCTACTAAGAATGCCAAAACCTCCCTTTTAATTTCTAAAAAATTCACGTTTTAGGTTTATTAACGTTTAGGAGCAAGAGCACTCTAGTTGATTAATAATAATAATAATAATAATAATAATAATAATAATAATAATAATAATAATAATAATAATAATG